TTCATAATTTGAGTAAATAGTTCCAAACATTAAACAATCAATGTCTGATCGTTCGGAAACTTTACAATAATCATGTAACGTTATTCAACCATAAAACATTTTTGAAGCAAATAAAAATTCACATTTGGTATGAAACTTTTTATGTTTGAAAAAATCAAAACAAGGCGTGATTCATCATCTCAGATTTTTAATTGCGATGCGACTATATTATGGAGTTCATAAACACACTGAACGATATACTTTGATTTTTTATACATCATTCCAACGATTTCGTTTTATTTTTTTTTATTTGCGAATTGATCTTACAATGACGCAATGCAAGTCATCTCAAAAAGTTTTCATGATAATTTGATCCTTCAAAGAACTTGTTTGGACCTCCAAACAAGTAACAAAAATACATAATAAGTTTTTTTATCATGTTACGAAAAAGATGACTTTTCTTTTTATTAATTTTCATTATTTATTTTTCAAGTTATTGTGCACGTGCAAAGGCACTTTGATAGTTTGAATATAATGCAATGAATATTTCAAGAAAATACTTATATATTTTGAGTATTTTCTTTATTACTACCTCAGAATCATAGCATGCGAACAATAGCTCGCGATCTATAACTCATCTATTATGCGTACGTAAAAAACATAGAATTGTTATTCAAAATATGTCAGGTAACGTAATTTTGATATTTATTATTTCGATATCAATAAAAAAATATGACTCGAGCTTTAAAAAAACTGTTTACCATTAAGTTATAATTTATTCATTTTACTATATTAAATTTGTACAATCAAACTACCCAAGGGAACATTTTGTTGTAACAACTACGTAAAGTGGCTCTATTTTTGGTCATTGGTTAATTTTAGTAATAATATTCAACTAGTATTGTCTTAAATGGAGAAGTCAGTGGAAAAGTTTTTAACAGAACATGCATACTATTTAATTTGGAATACAAAAATAATTTTTTTGTGGCCTTATGATAACCATCTAATTAACTTGGTTGGTAAAATTATAGTGTTATCGTCATTATCGATATCTATTTTTGGCGTGGTGAGAATTCATTATATTTAAAAAAAAATGGGAAAACTTTTTACTCGATTCTTGATAATGAAATGAATGGTTTTAAGGCTGCCCAGCTGTACGAAGAAATTTATTACTCAATAAAAATTGATATACTTGCTTTGGCAGGTATCATTTTTCAATTATCACAAATATTAATCGCTTTAACATTTTACACAACAGGGATATTAGACGTTAAAAAAGTATGAATAAATATTTAATCTTAATGCGATGAGGATGTATTACCGTAATAATATACATAACTTTCAATAGATTTTTAATGAGTGTACTATAATAGAAAAACAATTGACAATGGAGAAACATTTGAAAGAACAAAAACATCTTTTAAAAATTTGGAAAAAAAGTAACAAAATAGGAGGATTTCACTTTTGTAAATATCAAGATAAATCTGAAATAAAAATGAAGCTATTTCATTCGATGACATTTTTTTGTAGGTGCAAGTTTCATTACATATACTTTTTGCTTTTGTGTTGGACCTATCATTGAATATAAATTAAAGAAATCGGAACATCCGATTCTTTGTTCGAAATATTTCGTTAATTTGGACGATTATTTTCTGTGCATATTTATTTTAGAAACTATGGCATCTTTTTTTGTTTCTAGTATTATGTGTTATTTTGGAAGTTTATACGTCATTTTCAGTGTTTTCATCTATTTGAGAAGTCATCGGTTTTGGTAGGAATAAATCAAAATTTTATTTTATAGATTATCTTGTAGATTATCTTATAAGTTTTCTTACAAAAGAGAAATAAAATTTCCGCACGCATGTGGTAATGACGCTAAGTTCATTTCACGTTATGCAGTGATTTCACTTTTTACCCTTGTAAGAAATGGCATTTTTCAAGGAGACTCTGTAATCCACGTAAACATCTAATTTTCAATCATATTTTTTTTAATTTTTGAGAGAAATATGGTAAAGAATTTACAAAAAATGTGATTGAAAATTTTATTGTTACACTTTCTCTGATTTTTTCTTAATTTTTTCTAACTTTTACACGTTCAAATTTTCTTGGTAATAATCACGTTTATTTGTAGTGAACAAATTTATGAAATCGCCGATGATTTGAAGATCAAAAAGGAGGGAATATCAAAAAGTCATTTTAATTTCAAAATTGAACGTAAACTAATAAACTTAATCAAAAGTCACTACAAAGTTATTGAGTTAAATATCAATGAAATTTTTTTTCATCGAATTCAACATGACAAATAGTAAAGATGAAATAAAATTACAGATTAAGTATTGGCGCGGAAAAAGTTGCTCGAAATCTATTATTCGGTGCATTATGCAATTCTCTATTGATGTTTACAGTTATTGGATTTTTGGTAATTATTTTCATTTGAATAATGTTTTTTTTTTTTCATTTTTTAATGCATCAACATTATTTGTTAGATGATAGTTCAATTTGAAGCGGAATTCAATACAAATGCTACAAAACTGACTCTAGCATTTGTGGGAAATATATTTAGTATTTTTATTCTTTGCGTTGGTAGTCAATTCATACTCAATAAAAATAACGAATTTCTAGTTGCATGGTAAAACACACGGTATAAGTCATTGTTCAATAGAGGCTATATCGAAAACTGTATTTTTCCAGTTATGCTACTGATTGGTACGAATGGACTGCGAAAAACCGAGTTTACTTGCTAATGATTATGATCAGGGCATTTAAGCCATTTGGGTGGATCGCAGGTCCTGGAATTCTTTTAGACTTGAGAACTGTTACTTTCGTAAATAAAATATTCTTATTTATCGCATCGATAAAAATATTAATTTTCAAAATATATTTAAGGTTGTCAACACAGGAATGTCATACATAATGGCTATGAAGTCTCTATATTCTAGAAATAACTAAAGTTTCAAAGATATATTTCGCTAAATCAAAAAGCAGGAAAAACCGCGATCCATCACAGTTAGGTGAGATGGCAGCCTGGGACTTCTTTTTTGCATTAATTATTTGAAACAAACTACTTTTTGTTCTAATTTGAATAAATATAGTTGACTTTTCCAAAGTTTGAACGTGTAAACATAAAGAAACTTTACAATAATCTTGTAACTTGTGCAATCATAAAACATTTTTTCAAGTAAATAAAAACTATCTCGCACGTAGATGATACTTTTTATGTTTGAATAAACCGAGACAAGGCGTCATTCATCATCTCAGATTTTTAATTGCGATACGAAGCAGTGCGCATATTCTGGAGTTTATAAACGAACTCAATGATACACTTTGATTCTCCATTCATCAATTAAAACGATCTCGTTTTACCTTTTTATACGAGTATTAATTTTACAATGACGCAATGTAAGTCGTCTCGACAATGTTCATGATAATTTGGTATTTAAAAAACGTTATTGTACCCCCAAATAAGTAACAAAAATACATTTTATAATTTTTTTATCGTATCACGAAAGAGATGAAATTTTTCTAATTAATTTTCATTTGACATTTTTCAAATTCTTGCGCAAATGCACTTTCAATAGTTTAAATTTGATGTGCAATGAATATTTTATTAAGTATTTTCTTATTTACTACCTTAGAATCAGAGCAGGCAAACAATAGCTCGCGATCTATAACTCATCTATTATGCGTACTTAAAAAAGATAGAATTGTTATTCAAAAGATGTCAGGACACGTAATTTTAATATTAATTTTTCATAAAAAAAGTATATGACGTGCAACTAGTACCACTTTATGGAGCTTGGTGTGTATAGTGCTCATTGCGATATGTTCAAATTACCCTCGAGTAATTTTTTGGAAAAAAAGTACTAAAAAATAATTTTCCCTTCCTATTAAATTAAACATTCAGGTTTTGTCGATCAGTGAAGCTTCGATAATTTTTTGTTTATTCAATATGACTATTTTTTTAAATTATTGAGATATTTTAATTCCACCTTGCAAATATTTTATTACCCCCTGACGTTACAAAATTAACTAATTGAACTGCATTCCTAGTATCACAATTTATTATATCGGTATTGGTTTGGATATATATTTGTCTTTTTTGTGAATATTTCTCTGCATATAATTTACGATCTATTTAAAGAATTCAACGCCTGAATGTACGATATTTTTATTACAACGTCGAACCGTCGACGGTAATGGGAGGAATTAACCCCAAGGAGTTATCATAATCTCGGGGTCTCTTCGCTGATACACGAGCAGTGTGTATAGTTGCAGGCAAGGAGCTAAATATCTGCGGTAAGCAAGTGTTTACAGATTTGACTATTCGAGACACTTAACCTCAAATATTTTTTTGGTGTATCTCGTAAAAATTGTGTAATCAAACGAGCGATGGAAAGCAGAGATAACCCAATTAGGTAATATTTTGTGCATACATTCCATGATGTTTTTGTTTAAACTTGATTCATTTTTAGGATAAAGCAAGAGCCGGACTATACTTAGCCAGATGTCGGTGAAGATGGTATTTTTAATTCGGTGGACTCTTGCGACATCAAAAACATTGAAACATTTCCGTTCTATAAATCAGCAGTGAGTTATTAGCATTAGCACCTTATTAGCATTTCATGTGCAGGTCGATGAGGCGCGCAGATTACTTCACGTGTACACGAAAAGATCGAGATGTACTGTGGCGCTGTGCACACGAGCTCAATGGAAACTATGCTGAATGCACAGGTTTTTTCTGTGCCTGCACGGGGTTCAGTTCTGACAACGCAAGTGAGCACGGAAAGAAATAGCGTCGATAAAGCGCGCAGGTCACATCACAGCTAGCCATGCTCTTGTAAGCTGCCTTTGTCTCGTCACGCGCAATCGCTATTTATTTGCTATTGTTAGATTTTCCTTGTAAAACTAACATAGTACTAGAGCGAAGTTTTTGTTTATTTGCTATTGTTAGATTTTCGTTGTAAAACTAACATAGTTACTAGAGCGAAGTTTTTGTTTATTTGCTATTGTTAGATTTTCGTTGTAAAACTAACATAGTACAGTAAAATTCATGATGAAATCAATTTTCAACGACAATTTATATTGGAAAAGATTTATCAAATGGTGGCTTGTGAATCATCGTTTTATCTTTGTAAAACCAGCATATATAATGTACTATCTTCCTCATATGATTGAGGCATACAAACACAGCGAGAAGAATGATTCGTTACCAAAGGCCTCTTTTTATAAATCATTATTACTACACGCAGAACAATTTGAAAAGGACTTGGAAACCTTCAAACGTAAGTGTATTCTTTTTTCATCAAAATATATTCCAAATTATAATCCAAAACATAAAACTCCCAAATTTCTGTTTACAGTTGACAAGACCAACTTTGAAATAGAATGTTTTGCGCCAGAAGTGAAACAAGATTGTATAAACTGGTCGAAAATGTTACAACATTGGAAAACCATACTCGAGGATCCAAAACATCAACAATTTACTGAAGTTACTGAAGCATTACAGAAGTTAAGATTGCCTTGCTTTTCAAAAATTAATAGGGTATTTGCATGAAAAAAATATCGATGTAATTGTGACTTTATATTAAAATATGCATCCCCATAAGTAGTTAAACGAACAAAAAATCGAATTTTGAGTACATTTTTTAATTGTAAAATGAAAAGTAAATTGTTAATTATTTGAATATACTGCTGTCGCCCGAAAACGATTCTGATTGGTGAGAGGCGCTGTGACGTCATAGTTATAACTCAAATCGTTCTGCTGCACGTACAGCATACTAAAATATATTTTTAAAATTATTGTTAAAATGCCCAAGAAAACTGTGGAAGACGGATTTGTGAAAGGAGATTCTAGTAATCTTCCAAAAGTTACTGCGTTTATGGTTTTTGAGTTTTTAACGAGGGACGACCGATTCAATACGCCTGAAACTCGAAACGTCAAGTTGAGCTTGTAAGTATTATTCTTCACACGTTGAACGTTATCCTATCTTATTGTAAACATTTATTGAAGTGTCAGAATAATTTCTTCCATTCTAAGTTGTGAATAATTGTGTTTTTGTTATTTTTTATAGGTCTTCTAGAGAGTCATATGGTGATTCTGCAGTAGGTTATGTACGTCTTCAGAGGATGCATTCCATGTGTACAGTGAAAGCCGATATTTGTCCTGAGCACAGAGTTCGACAAAAAGATTACACTGTTATATTAAAAGTTGATGAAAAGGCAGAGCAGGTCACCGAATTACAATGTTTGGATTGTGCTGCATCCACAGGTTATTATTTCAACCTATATTTGATTTTTCTGCTTTTTGGTAAAACAAAGTATTTATAACAATTCATAATATTGTTTAGGTGGGTGTAAGCATGCGGTAGCGTTTCTCATGTGGGTTCACAGAAGAACAGAGGATATTTCACCAACAGAAACCACCTGCTACTGGAAAAAAGCTTCTCTGTCAACAGTTGGAACTTCTCTTAAGTATATTGTGGCTAGTGAGTTAATCTCTCAGACAGAAAAGATCAGCAAAGATGATTTGCCTGATGATTCAACTTTTCTGAAGGAGCTTTTGATAGAAGCACAAAAACGAAATTTAGATAGTCAGCTAACAAGGCACAATTTTGAAATGAAAGACAGAGAAGTGTATATGTTGTCAATGCACTACATCTTCAACCAATGTGTGACTGAAGGATTATTATCTGTATCAGAAGTCACTCAATTTTCTAAACAACTCCTTCAAGATAGGCATGATTTGTGCAAAAAAGCTGAGCTCGAGACAAGGAATCAAAGCGAGAATTTACTGTGGTTTGAACTTAGATATGGTAGGATCACAGCTTCCAAACTATATGAAGCTTCTAAATGCTCGACAGGGGATGGAAGCTTATTAAATCAAATAATTGGAGCTTCAAAAAAGTTTGACTCCAAATTTATGGAAAGAGGAAGAAATTTAGAAAGTGACGTTATAAAAACAGTGGAAAGTGAAATAGGAAAAAAGATTGAAAAAAGTGGATTTATTATCATCCCAGAATACCCAATGATTGGAGCATCACCTGATGGGATTGGAGATGATTTTGTGGTTGAAGTCAAGTGCCCTTCCAAAGAAGACTTAATTAAAAACTATATAAAAAATAATAAAGTGACTGAAAAATATAAATCCCAAATAATGCTACAAATGTTGGCTGCTGAAAAGAAAAAAGGACTATTTGTAGTTGCTGATCCTGAATATGAAAAAACTAAAAGTGTCACTATTATTAAACTTGAGTTGGAAGAAAAATTTTTAACTGCTGTTTTGAAACGAGCTATACAATTTTGGGAGAAAAACGTGTTTCCTAAATTATTGGACACTTTTCATAAGAAATGATGATCCTGTGCCTGTGTTGATGAAATGTATAAATAATATATTGATGAAATGTATGAATAATATGTACCTGAAATAATGAATGTGTTTGATTATTCAAAAATAAAATTAAGTTTTTCAAAAAATTTTTTATTAGTATTTACATATGTTTTACATAGTCCTTGTTATACATAAAAATTTTATTCTTAATCATAAGTATGTACAGATAATCTAAATTATGTCCTTATCACAGGTTTTTGAAGATTTATTAACGCACAAGCAATGGTAACAGCACAATCAATATTTGGCATTATGTCCAAGTCCAGAGAGGCATGAGGTTCTAATAACTTGTATTCTCTAATTCTTCTTATGACTCTCTCAACATGAATCCTTATGCTGGCTATGCGTTTAGTTAACAGAACTTCACTCTTTGATGGTTTAACTGTTGAAGAAACGCTAGGAGGTCTAATCAATTTACAGTTAAATTGATTCAGGATGTTATCAATCTGTTTGAATCCTCTATCTGCTAAAATTCCACATCCTTCTGGAAGTATTTGAGTAATTCCACATTTTTCAAACAGTAAAACATCACTGATTCTTCCACCGTACCCTTGAGAAATATATGCAATCATACCATCACATGTGACAGCCACAAGATATTTTAAAGTATTGCATTTTTTATACTCAGACCAAGTTAATGATTGATGTACAGGATCTGTTGGTTTGAGAATTTGAATTTCAAAGGCATCTATAATTAAATAAACATCACTGAAATTAGCTCTAAACTGTATTGGCAAAAGTTTTTTAACACTTTCTTGACTTGGAGCATAAATTAAAGTTTTCAGTAAGTGTGCCAATTTTTGTACACTTTTATTGAAAATCCTACCAGCTTGACAATTTGAGTAGGAAAATGCAGGACCCAAGCGAGTAAATGTATCATTTAATCTTATCTTTTGTAGCGTTAATTTTATGTGATCCAATGGCAAATCAGTCTGCTGCTGTAATAAATTAAGAATCCATAACCATTCTGGTAATATACCAAGATATAGTTTTGAGTCCATACTAATTAAATAATTAGTTACACTAAGCACATTTACTTTGGCATCATTTTTTTCAATTTTGTCATTTTCACTATTACTAGTAGATATTTTATATTCACTGTCACTAGTTTTAACTACTTCACTGCTTGTCTCTGTATAATTGTCACTTGCAGATTCACTTTGTGCTTTTTCTACAACAATGTTTACTAAACAAGACTTATCACATGTTTCAGTTAATGTTTGACAGTTAGAATCTTTAACACTTGGTTTGCACGTAATGCCTTTACTTCTATACTTTGTTAGTTTTAGTGTTTGAACGCCAATACTTCTAACTTCTTTCAAATCCTTAGAAGCACAACTGGTCGTTTGTTCTGGGTCAAATGATGATTGAGTATTTGGGATATTATTTTCTTTCTCACTCTCAGCATTTGAAACTGTAAATAATGCTGTTTCATTTTGAGCACTGTCAGCACAATCACTGTAAGAAAATTCACTTTGAAAATGTTCACTGGGAGAAAATTCACTGAGAGAAAATTCACTCAAAGGCAGTTTACTAGCAGAACCTTCATTTGAACAAGGTTTTTTAATATTGCAAGAATCTTGATTATTTTCTTTCAAAATCTCTGATAAAAGTCTCTTTCTATTCAGTTTCTTGAATGCAGTTCTATTTAAGTCGGTAGAATTGTTTGCTCGTTCAGGCTGACAAGCAAAATTATGTGGTACCACATCGGGCTTCAATTTCAACTGGCTTGCACCAAATATTTTGTATTGAATAAAGTTTTCCATATCTTCTTCTAACTGAAAAAGGCAAAAGAAAACACTTACTCAACTGTCCAAATTTCATTTTTAGGTTAATTTTCATATTTATGTACAACAATTGAAATAAATAGATTCAGAATTTGATCATAACATTATAAATTTGATACTCACATTGAAATGATCCTCACAGCAAAAAAAATTGCTTTTGCCGGGTATATAATCTCGACGTGCTAATTGGAACCATAACTTTCTTCTATTTTCGTCGTTATTTGGAACCCAAAAAAATAATTTGTTCGGTGTTACATTTGTATTATTCTTACAATTGTACACAAAACAGCCCCTGTATGGTTTTTTGGAACTCATTTTCAATTAAAATAATTCTAATTACATAAAACAACTTCAATATTACATTGATTTTATATGTCTGCTTGTAGTATCTCTTATAACTATGACGTCACAGCCCGCTCGGGTATCGTCGGGTGCTTTCGTCGCGTAATCGGTTCTTTCAAAAAAAGCTATTTTTAAACATTTATTTTTAAGGGTAAAAATGCATCAAAAAAATCGCAGAAAAAAAATTTATTTATAATTCATACCTATAGTTTTCAAAAATATAATTATTTCAATTCATGCAAATACCCTATTTGCCTTTGTTCAATGACGTTATTGCACCTACATTTCATGATGCTATGAACAAATTTCTGAAGAGCAGGAACAAGTACCAAATAATTGAATTATCATTCATCATCATACCAAGTCAAGAAAGAATCATAAATAGATGTGCAGATCCCCCAGGTAAGCGATAGCCATTGAATGTTATCTTCAAATTTTTGAACGACATCTCATTTTCTAATATAATTTTGCAGCGATAAAACAAAATTTATCACATTTGGATCTGCAACAATTTCGGTGCCTGGTCCGCAATGAAGAAGAAATGCATGATGCATTTATGAAACTTCATAAAGATTTCAATATTTTCAAACCATTATTAGGACCATTTCAAAAAATGGTCGATGCATTAATGATGTAAGTATATTTTATTTAAAAACCTTTTTTATTCTGCCAAATCTTTGTATAAGTTTTTTGATAAACGTATAGATGAATAAATAACACAATTTATTACAGAAACACCAGTAATGATGATGACGATGTGAATGATGGCGAAAGAGAATCAAAAAAAAGAAAAAAACTGTACGCAGAAGATGACATGGAAACAGTAAATATGAATAATAATCTAGTATGTGAAAAATCTCTCCAATATGAATCAAAATCAGTGAATAGATTGAGATCTCACTGTAATATTTTGTTGTACAATGGATTGTGGAGGGGACGATTTCGAGCGAGTCTGCGTGTGTTTGCAGAGTTTCGCCGACATCGTACACGATTACTCAGACAGAGTAGAAATACGTTTGGCAGTCACCAGACTGATGTATGACAAGTGACCCTGAAGAGGGTCGATGTTATTTGTTGCCTCTTAGTTAACAAGTTTTGTAAACTCTACGTTTAGTCCTGAGAAGGACTAGTTTTGATGCAGGCTGTTGATTTGTGCAGAAGGACTGGCTGTGACCAGCGGTGACCAGCTATGACCGATGTTGACCGGCTGTGACCGAAGTTGACCGTCATGGAGTGGAAGGTCAGATGGACGATGACGTCGTTGTCGGCTCGGGCTGCTTGGCTGTCACATGACTCGTGAGAGTGGAGTGACACAATTGTCGATCACTTTTCTGTCCAACTTGTAAAGTGGAACAGTCAAAAGTCAAAGAAAAAAGTCTAATCACTTTTCTATTCCCACTTGTAACAAGTCGAACAGTCAAAAGCTGATTAAATGGAGTCGAGAGGCACTTATACTAGTACTCTGAACTCGACCTTTTCTCTTGCAGGCACGACTTTTTAGTGGCGCTACGCCACCTGGCGACCGAGTCGGATGTTTGAAAAGTCAAAAGGTGGGGAAAGGTGTTGAAATAATAAGTCGAGTATTTGTAATATAACCAAGTTCACTATTGAGAAGTGGCTCTAGGTCAAAACTCTCGAGTGCTCGTCGACGCGAACGCGAAGACGAGAGTCGATGTGCTCTGGCTGGCTGCCGAGAGACGACTGTCTAGTCGGCCAAAGTGGCTCGCTTATATACACAGCGACCACGCGCTGATTGGCTGATGCCGCGAGGTGGGGACGAGTGCTGCAGTGCACGTCGTTTGAGTGGGGACGCACGCAGGGGTCTCGGCGTTGGTGGGGATAACAATTTGTGAGTTGATAAGTTGAATTATTTTTCTAATTTTCCACTATCAAAAACGACAACGAAATTTTAATTTCAGACGAATCACATGAATCGGGATATGGAAATGCGGGAAAAGTTAGATGAAAAATTATCCATAGTGTTTGAGTGCAAAGATGTGAAACCTAAACCGACGTCTTTATCGACATACATCTGCAAAACTGAGCATGAAAGTTGCCTAACTAATGTGAAGAAAGAAAACCAAATTAAGATATTGATAAAAAAAGATTTCGATTATCTTAATAATTGTCAATTTCATATATAAGTGCTCGATCGAAAATTGAAGAATGCATAAAGAAGGATAAAATATTTGAGAGTATTAGATTTTATGAATGTGGCATTTGTCACAAATCATTCAAACTTAAACATCATCTTGAAAGTCACATAAATTTGGTACATAATCGGAGAAAACCATTTGAATGTGAGATTTGTCATAAATCACTTTCACAGAAAGGTAATCTAAATAAACACATACGTTCAGTCCATGATCAGAGCAAACCTTTTGAATGCGACTATTGTCACAAATCATTCGGACAAAAAAGTAACCTTGAAACTCACATAATAGCGGTGCATAATCGGAGCAAATCCTTTGAATGTGAGATTTGCCATAAATCATTTGGATATAAGAGTAACTTAGTTACACATATAAATGTAGTTCATTATCAGAGAAAACCCTTTGAATGTGAGATTTGTCACAGATCATTTGGGGAAAAAATTACTTTTAAAAGACACTTAAACGCAGTACATAATCGGAGCAAGCCTTTCGAGTGTGATATTTGTCACAAATCATTTAGAGGCAAGGGTGACCTCAAAAGACACGTAAATTCTGTACATAATCGGATCAAGCCTTTCGAGTGTGATATGTGTCACATGTCAAGTAGCCGCAAGGATGACCTGAAAAAACACTTCAATTCCGTACACAATCGGAGCAAATCCTTTGAATGTGAGATTTGCCATAAATCATTTGAATATAAGAGTAACTTCGTTACTCATATAAATGTAGTTCATTATCAGAGAAAACCCTTTGAATGTGAGATTTGTCACACATCATTTGGGGAACAAATTACTTTTAAAAGACACTTAAACGCAGCACATAATCGGAGCAAGCCTTTCGAGTGTGAGATTTGTCACAAATCATTTGGATACCAGAACAGTCTTAAAATTCACACAATGAAGTTACACGATCGGAGCCCTAAGAACCCCTAAGAACATGAGATTCGTCCGAAGAAATTTAGACGCTATATAAACATATCTGCAACCTAATAAACAATAAAAATTTTCAAACTGTTATTATTCATTTTGTTGTGAATCTGGCAAACCTTTTAGTTACGTATCAAATATAAACTTAAATATCATCAATGTTTCATCTTCAATTCGTACTTTAAAATATTGTTACTGAACCCTCCCCCTATTAATGTGCCCGTAAAATATCTCTATTCAAGAACAATAATATATTCTACGCTGAAAGATCCTTCAACCAATTTACGTATCGGCGGACGATTGAAAATTTCACACTTCATCTTCGTAATTACTGAAACGAGACCCATTAAAAATGCTTCGCACGACTATAACTTTCTCTGAGTTCCAAAAATCATAAAAAAATGTATTAATGATGGATTCTTAACATAGTCACTATTCAATCAATTTAAAAACTCGCGCTCCCTGCAATATGGTCACTTACTCAATGTCGGTAATGTAAAAACTTCGTGCGCCGCGTGTTTCAAAAATCTCGGCTGGCGCCACTTGTCGCTACATACCTCTAGACTATTGTCTGCTCCACTGCCCGTCGTTTGTTTACTTCATCAGTACACACGATCGAACAGTCACAAGTATATAACATTTCTCTCGTAATCCTCGTCGTCGTTACAATATTCCAACTGTCGTAATCACTTATTCGATTCCACCAGGATGGGCGAGAGGTACAACATTCACAGTCAATTGGAGCATCTGCAGTCCAAGTACATCGGCACGGGTCACGCCGACACGACCAAGTTCGAGTGGCTGGTGAATCAGCACCGCGACTCGTGCAGCTCCTACATGGGCCACTACGACCTACTGAACTTCTTCTCGATCGCCGAGAACGAGGCCAAGGCGCGCGTCAGATTCAATCTCATGGAGAAGATGCTGCAGCCCTGCGGTCCGCCACCGGAGAAGCCGGAAGATTAATTCCAGCGCTCATAGGTTATAGTGTGCCGTTGTGGCATTACTCTGTATTTATTTTATAAAATAGGATTAAGAAAATACACGTTCGAGTGATTAAATAAATATAAATCATTTTTATTTGTACAAGAAATTTACAATTGGCCAATTATTTTTTAGGTTCCTTCTCTGTATTATTTACATCCATAGCCTCCAGCTTTTTATTTACACTCTCGGATTCTCTGTCTTGTTCCAACGCTTTGTTCACGTATTTTAATAGAGTTTCTTGAAGCAGCAAGTGAATATTTTCAGAAGCTTTTTGCAGCGCTTCCATGGTGTCGCACAGAACATCGCAGTCCAAGTTGCCAAAGAAAAATGGCTCTGTGATCTGATTGTATTGGGACAACATCGCTTGCATTATTATTCCACGATCAAGATTCTCTTTTGACACTTTGGTAGAGCAGAGTTTCTCTTCCTCCACAGTTAAATCGTACAATACCAAATCGTCGTGTATACCCTAAATAAAAATTATTGATGAATAAATTTTACTATCAAAGGAGTAACAATACTTGTTTTGTATCAAATGTTTACTCACAGCAGTGACTGCAGTAACGATTCCCTTCATAGGTACACTGGCATTGGCTAAAGCAAGACTCGCTGCCATGATTGCAGCTGCTAGGGCTGATCCATTGTTATCAAGAACTCTAACATAAATATCTATTTGAAAGTTAGGAAATTCATTCTATAAAAAAAAAAGAAATAAAATTAACGTTCATTCATAATCAACTTTCAAAACAATCTCAAAATGAATTGAATACTGATGATTACCCTGCACACTGCTGGTTCCAATGCTCTCTTCAGAATTGAAGAGTAGTTTTGTTCTTCCTTCTCCAGTTGAGCATCTCTTTTATTAGCTGTAGCGAATAATGCATATTTGAACTCTACAAAGAGTTCACCCTCTGGGCTGAAGCTCACTTTGTTGTGAATTTCACGAGGTGGATGAACCGAGCAAATAACTTTTGTATCTCCCATCTCGATGTACGCGGAACCTTTGACTTGAGTAACAACTCCCAACTTGATGGCTGCATCAACAAAAATACAAAGGCATGAACGATCACACATCAAAACAAAACTAAACTCAAAAAATTGCCAACGGGTCACTCACACATCTTTCGAAATTCGTCGTGTTTTCTGCCATCCTCTCTGTTTCGCAGTTGTTCTTTAATCGACGTTGCTTGCACGGAAGGCATGATCGATGACAACTTTGAACTGTCTTATATTTATTAAAAAAATATATCCACGTGCTTTGGTGGACGAGCCGGTAATAGCCAACTGATGAGTTGTGTGTACACACTGCTGGCAGTACATAAAACACTACCAACTTGAACGTGCTGCAAAGCAGAACTCAAAATGTAGCTCCTAATTCGGAGGCTGTCAAGCTACAGGCGCTCGCGCGTCTGTAAAAATTCCAGCGCGATTTCGCATGTATTTTGCAAAATAATACCTGCTCGACTCTGCAACTTGCTTCTTAAATAACTTTCTATCATCAAAAAGGAAAAAGACCCGCGCGGAAAAGCCAAGCTCGCCATTGGCTGCGCCGAACGGAAAACAAAAAAAAAAAAAAATAAATGCACGCGCAGAGCCGCAACAGCTCGACCGTGTGCGTAGGGTTGTTCGGGTGCGGGGTGGAGCGAGAGGGGACGAGAGGCAGTTTCGCGAATCGGCGAATCGCCTGCGCCGCGAATATAATGTGCTGATTTGTGCGCCGCTGCCGCCGCTGCTGCTACTTCGAACCTATATATTGTACAGAGAGACGCACACGGACGCACACACCCCAATCGTCGTATACACACAGCATGATTCGTGGCTGTTATTAGTTTTGCCGTGTGCAAATTTTCCCATTCACACCACTGCCATCATCGTCGTCGTTTGCTCGTCGTCGCGCGTGTATACAACAACACACAAATTTCTTTTATTTATTTTGGTACTAATATAAAATCACCTTTGCTCTCTCTATCTCACCTGCTCCGAAATTTTTCAAGTCGCGTACTGCCGACCGAGCTCGTTAAGGGATCGTCATCTCCTCTTCTCTCTGGTGTAATTTTTATTATTAGTAAAAAGAACAATAATACACAATGGCCAAGTACACAGCGGCCAAATCGAACTACAGACTACGCTGCGAACTGTTGGGACACAGCGGCGACGTGCGCGCCCTGGCCGTCCACGGGGAAGGCGATGGCTTGGTCTCCACGTCCCGAGACAAGACCGCTATTTATTGGCGTTGCGTCGAGTAAGTACTTTTTCTAACGCGAATAATAACTAATGCTCGGGTCCCGCTCGGGGGACTCGTTCGTTTGTTTCAACGTTAACGTATATATATATATATATATTTTTTTTTTTCATTACCATGAAACAACAACAGTGGCAACTTCGTCGCGCAGGCTGTTATGACAGGACACAGTAATTTCGTGAGCGCCGTTTGCATCACCAAACCATCCAGTAGACATCCCAGGGGCCTGATCGTCACCGGCAGCAATGATCATCACATTTGTATTTACAACATAGGTGACACGGAGCCTTTCAAAAAATTCAAAGCTCACAACGATACCATATCTTGCTTGAACGCCAGTAATTTTGAGGATGACGCATTCATCAGCGGTTCCTGGGACTTGACTTCCAGACTGTGGAGTCTGGACAATTTGAAAGCACCAAAAACTTCCTACACCGGACATGTTCAGGCAGTATGGTGTGCCATCGATTTGGGCAACGGCAACGTTGTTACTGGAGCGGCTGATAAAGCCATCCATGTTTATACGAGAAGTGGCCAGATTGTGCACAAATTACAACAGCACACGGACTGTGTCAGAGATTTGACACCCATTAATAATAATGAGTTTTTAAGTTGTTCCAATGATGCCATAGTCAAACACTGGAGTGCAATTACTGGTGATTGTTTGGGTAATTTCTATGGACATTCTAACTATATTTACAGCATATCTGCTTTGCCCGGAGGTGCTCTAGCAGTTTCATCTGGAGAGGATAAGACTGTCAGAGTTTGGCATAATGGAGAAGCAGATCAAACAATTGACTTACCAGCAAGATCAGTGTGGGTAGTTAGACTTTTACCTAACACAGACATAGTGTGTGGCACCTCTGACGGAGTAGTTAGGGTATTTACTGCTGATAGTCAAAGATTTGCTGACCCAGAATCTATGCAAAAATTCGAAGAAGCTGTTGCCAAGGATCAAATAATTTCAGGTGCTGCTCAAGATAAAGATTTGAAAGCTTTTGAGTGGGTATTTGTTTCAAATGTTACTAAAAATTCTTGACTTATTCATTTCATGCTTATAATTAATTTTTTCAGTCCAAGTGCTTTGCACGAACCTGGCAAAAAAGATGGAGATATAAAATTAATTAAAGAAGGATCATCCGTTAAAGCATATTCATGGTCTCAAAGAGAATTAAAGTGGAATCTTGTTGGCGATGTGTTAGGCAAAAATAATGAATGTGGAAAAAAATTACATAATGGAATTGAATATGATTATGTATTTTCTGTTGACATTCAAGATGGTGTGCCACCACTTAAACTGCCTTACAATAAGGGACAAGATCCTTTTGTAGTAGCTCAAAAATTTCTTCATGATAATCAGTTGGAACAACAATTTTTAGAACAGGTATGTCAAAGAATTAATTTTTTTTTTTTAAATTGAAGTTGTTTTTAATCAAATGTGTAATTTTCAGGTGGCTAATTTTATTATCAAAAATTCGGAAGAACACACACCTGTTGTGAGTAATCCATCACAATACTATGATCCATTTACTGGTGGAAACCGATACATACCCCAAGGCTCTTCACAAGGTACACCTGGACCTGATCCTTTCACTGGTCAAAATCGTTATGTGCCTCCAAGTTCTCAACCTGCACCTCAACCTACTCCTACTTCATCAGCAGCAAGTTCACTCATACCTCGTAAAGATTATTTGAAATTAGAGCAAGCAAATTTAAAAAATATTTTAGGTAAATACCGATTTTTATAATACTTTTTTAAAACTATAGAGAATGCTTAATCATATATAAAACAAATTTTAGATAAACTAAAAGGATTTAATTCAAGCGACACAGTTGGTTCATTAAACATACCTAATGATCATTTAGAATTTGTTGTTCAATTAACAACTAACAATTGCAAAGAGGTCATTGATGCTGGCATAGTTGATAAGTTGATGCACCTCCTAAGCTGGCCTGAATCTGTAGTTTTTCCGGTATTGGATGTGGCTCGCTTGGCAGTATTGCAAAAACCTGTGAACGATTGTCTTTGCACAGATAATCTTATTAAAGCAATCAGCCAGCACTTGGAAAAAGATGCGATTGAAGCTAATCAAATGCTAACATTTAGACTATTAGCCAACATGTTTGTCCATCCTCAAGGAGAAAAACTTGGGCTCAAATATAGCGGCGAAATTTTCAAAGCTATAATGCATCTACCTTCCCTCCGAGGAAAACATACTCAGGTAAAACTAATATCATCCGCTTCAAACGACAAAATCTTCAACAAAAATGTATCTAAATGTGTATTTGCCAATCAACAGGTTGCCATCACATCGTATCTCTTGAATGCGGCGATAGCATTAAATCGAGCGCACAATTCACCTGCCAAGGAGCAATATTTCACGGTTTTGCGTACCGTTTCACCTTTGATCGAAGAAAAAGAGGCGATATTCAGAGCCCTCGTTGCTCTCGGCACATTGTTGTTTGATTCGGCCAGCGACGCGAGCTTGATCGAATGCGTAACGACTTCGCCAGAAACATTGGCCTTTGTAACTAAAGCGATCGAAAGTACAGAGAGTAAAGTTGTCGATGTAGCCAGAACTATACTAGAGAGAATCGTTGGATAACATTGAATTGTTGATGAAATTTTAAAGACAGAATGTGAGAATGTTAACAGTTGATTATATTATGCATAATTGATCATAATGAAAAAAAAAGGGAAGAGGTCTAGTCAACGTTTTGTTGATGGTTGTAACTATTAATGTAGAAATCTCACTAATGACAACTCTTTTAAGTCAAATTTGAATTGAATTATTTTAATGGAGAAAAAAAAACAACAATAATTCCTTAATCTACTTATCAATATTATTTATTTGTAATTTTTTTTGTAATTTGACGAATAAACACGTCTAATATACGATGTTCAGTGCTGCGTGCATTTTTCAATCTCTATTAGCTTATACTGCAGGTAAGAAATATGTACATAAATAACAATTGAAAGAATAAAAAGTTTTTAAATATTTACGTAAATAATTTGTTGCCTTTTAATAACAACATCAGTTCAGTACATAAACAATGGAATGCGTAAAATTTTTTTGAAAAATATTTCACATAATTTTATTAACAAAAATAATTCTTTGGTTCTATTATTAAAAACTTGTGTTTCAAATATCATTTTTAAAACAAAAAACACAAACAATAAAAATACAAACAGATCATATTCCTTTACATGATGAGGAATGCTTTTCAATTCGCTGAGGGAAAAATTTTCTTTTACAAATGTTACACCTAACTAATTCTTGTTGATGCTGCTCCCAGTCAATTTCCTCTGCTTGCAGTTGTGGTATTGGTATAGGCTCAATTTTTTTAGTTTCTGGTAAATGAATCACTGTTCCATCAGTTGTGCTGATTGGGCTCCTAGCCAATTGATGCTTTGGCAGCATAGGATTTAAGCTTGTATCAAGAGTATCTGATTGGTATCCACTGGACTTTGATGAAATTGACTCTCGTTCAGAAACATTTGGAACATTCTTTTTATTCTCTTTCACATGCTGGTCTTTTTGTTTTATAACTGCAGAGCTTGGATGTAAAGTAGACATTACTTTTTCGGATTTCTGAGTGACCAAGGGTTCCTTTATAATCGGTGAACATTTTACTTTTGTAATTTTGGGAGATGGAGGTATTTGTACAGAATTTGGGGAGTTCACTTGTAAATTATTTTGAGACGGTAATAACACTTGTTTGATAATAGGAGAATGTTTTACTTTTGTAGGCTTTGGAGAAGGTGGAACAGCAGCTATTTGAGAGGAATTTAATGTTCTATACGGTTTGGGAGAATGCTGAACTTTTGCTGCTCTAGGCCTGAATATTTCTTCTGGTGTTGATGGTAAATTAGACATATCTCCCAAAATTTCAGCACAAATGCTTTGAAATGGTTTTGGTGAGTGCACCACCTTTGGTGTCTGTGGCTTAAAAATATCTTCTTCGTTCAATACAGGTGAATCTACATTTTTAAGTTCATCTACTCTATCAGTGACATATTTCCTTCTGACCACAAACTGATCCGCTGATTTTTTTGCTGACAATTGAACATTATCCTTTTCAACGTCGGCTGCATTTTTGTTCTTGTTGATGCTGATTTTAGGCACTTGATTCTCTTTCACTTTATTATCACTGGGAGTCTTGCGTGGGGAAACAGCGGGACTGTTTTCATGAGAATTGCTAATCACGCTCACATCCACCATATCACCAGAATCATGGGTAAATAATTTTCTTCTGGTAAAGGCAATGGAACTGTTATTGTCCTTCAACGTTATCGAACCGTTTCCATCGTTGATGAACGGACTGTACAATCCTCTCTTGATCTTCTTCTCTGACGCATGGATACCCTCTTGATTCAGAGACAGATGTCCCAACTGCTCCATGGCGCTCTTGGCATCCTCCGACAGCTCCTGCTGCTCGTCCTTGACATTTTCCTCCTGTTGATTTTCGCACACGGCCTCGTTGCACCTGCACAGATGATCGCAGGCCAAGCCCTTCTTGACGCAGCCACATATCTTGCTGGAGCAGTTGCCCTTGCATCCGCACCCCTTGAGCTTGGTATTGGAGGCTGGACTGGCGCATTTCACCTTGCTCAGAGCCTTGTTGGCTCTCAGGGTCTTGAACGACTCTTTATCCTTCAGTTCCTCGACCTCGTTTTTCCCTGCTGCCGTCGTTGTCGTCGTTGTCTTTGTCGCGTTCAGCTGATTCTTCAACAGGGCGTTCTCGTTCTCCAGCAGAGCCAGCTTACTCCTGAGCTCCTCCAGCTGTCGCTCCGTCTGTTTTTTGTACTCGCTGTCGACGCCGACGACCTCGTCATCGTTCTCGGTCTGCGTCGAGACGGTCTTCGTCTTGGGCTCGCCGACGCTGCCCCGGTTGTTACTGCTGTTGCGTTGCTGCTGCTGCTGCTGCTGCTGCTTCGATCTCGCAACCCTCGATCTTTTCGGTGGCATGGCACACACGCGTTTTATTTTATTTATTTATTCGTATACAAATCCGATGCTATTATATTCAATCGATCGACAGGCACACACACGACTCGGTGATACAATAAACATGCGCTAGGCGTGTAATTTAGGTATTTAAACAAGACACAACAAGCCCATCATCGTCGTCCGAAAAATGGCGTAACGGACATTTAGCTGTATACGAGTACACAGCACGCACAAAAATTGAATTCAAAATCCTGCGTGGCTCGCTATAAGCCGGCTGCTGCGCAGAGATATCCGATGCACAGCATTCGAGTCGAGGAGGAGGTGAGGACCATTTAAATCTCGCCTTGTTTAAATGGCTCGTATAGGTAGGCGCGTCTCTCTTTGTTGTGTTTCGATACGCGAGCGGTGGCAACAAGCCGAGTTTGCAATGGATGACTGCTGCCTCCGATCGACGCGCGCACAATTCAACACGGCATAAATAGTAAATATTGATTTTTCCAGGCTAAGGTGTAAATTATGCATACTCATCGATATTTGTCCATGCAAATTATTACTTTGCTTCGTTATTTTTGTTATCGTTATTGTCGTTGATTTTATATTTCGACGTTTAAATGTCCCGCGTTCCGCATGCTATATATCTATATCTATATCTCAACCATCTCGAGGTCGTTCGCATGTGCTTGCACACACAAACACACACACACACACACACATCTATCTATCTACCCACCCACCCCAACACACATCTCCGCCGCGCACATCTAATAATACAAAGGACACCCGCCAACCGAATATATAAGCTCGAAAGTCCGCGAACTTGAAAACTCGCGCATACACATTGAAAGGGGTGGGGGTCGCGGCAATGCTCTTGAGCCTTGAAACCTCTCGGCTGCTATATGCTGCTGCTGCTACAGACATACACGTGTGTTTCGAATCCCACGCGATACACATGTACACACAGCAGTTCGTCGATAGACGCGCATAGCTACGCACGATTCGAAATTTCGACTTCGGAGTTCGGTTCCTGCATCGTCGCGCACAGCAGTTAGTTAGTTAGTTAAGTGACTTTCACGCAGCAGTATAAAACCACATGTCTCTCGGATTAAGACACGAACACGTGCGCGTACGTATAGTGGCGTTTGATGATATATTATAAATTATAAAATCGATTTGTGATCGCGGAATTGATCATACGCAATTTGTTATACAATGTGTGTCTACGCGTAATTCGATCTTCCTCTGTTGTTTTTTTTTTGTTTTTCTCTTCGATTCTTGTCGAGTGTTTTGTTTTATATTTTTACAATTGAATGTAAGTGGGTGTCGAGATAAAGCGAAACGAAACAAAATCGTTATTTATTATATTAATATATCAATAACTTGAATCGAGTGCGTATACGTGGCCGCCCACGCACGAAAAAAACGGATTGATGCAAGCTCGAACTGGAGAACGCTCGGACAATTTTTGACTTTCACTTTTCTTCGTTTTCGTGCGGTGCGCTGCCAAGACAGAAGTACATACACACACACACACACGTGCACTTGACACTTTGGTTATACCACGAATCTTGGCGCTTCGCAGTTGAATACTTACGCTTTATTTTTTTTACTATATATATAAATGCTTATATACATATATCAACAAAGAAAGAACCGACGGTCCGCGCGTAGCACAGCGTCTTTATCATCGGATTATTAATAAAACAGCGGCAGCGTCTCCGCTCGAGATAAAATAATATATATATACACAAGCCGAAGCGAAGATTCGTCATCGAAAAAAGATTGTTTTGACAAAAAATCTCGCATCAGCACACACACACACACACGCACTTACACACCATGGCCCAAGCAGCGGTACAGCCGTATCCGTCGCACAGCAAGTACAAGCCGAGCCTCGAGATCGTCGCCGAGGGATTCCAGCGGATCAGGCACGTAGCGGCGTGCGGCGCCGAGGGCAGCTTCGTCACGGCCAGCGACCGCAAGGACTTGTGCTTCTGGAAAGGGTAAGTGTCTCGCATCACCACCACCCACCGCCTCTTTTTATAGCTACTATACGCGCGACACTACTATTGTAAAATCGATCCTCCTCCTCCTCGCGTCCTCGCTTCCTGTTTCGCATTATATTTACGTCGTGTATTCTTCTTCTTCTTTCTCTCAGGCCGAACTACGAGAAGACGCGCGTGCGGATGCTGGGTATCGAAGGCGACGTCAACTCGCTCTGCTATCTTCAGCCGACCTCGCAGAATCCGCTTGGCTACGTGGTGGTGGGCTGCTCGGATCGCAGCCTCTCGATCTACGTAGCCGGTGAGTCGAAACCCCAGCAGAGTTACAGCAAGGTGGCCGTGAAGGAGGTCAGAGGACTGCGCGCGAGCTGCCACAAGCCGGGCCTCGAGTTTCTCTGCTGCGATGGGGACCAAGCCAAGCTCTGGAATCTGACGGAGCTCCGGGAGAAGAGGGATCAGCCCTCGGTGACTTACGAGGCTGGTCTCGAAGTGACATGCTGCGTGGACAGTCCGGACGGTCAGCGGGTGATCGCGGGCGCGCGGAACTCGCAGCTGCTGGTGTTCGAGCGAGCCAGCGGAAAGCTGGCCATGGTGCTGATGGGACACGAGGGTCCGCTCAACGACCTGGCCATGCTCCAAGGAGGCTGCCAGGAGTTCTTGTCCTGCGGCTCGAACGACCCGTCCATACGTCGCTGGAACTTCGAGACCGGCAAGATGCTGCAGGTCTATAGGAAGCACAACGACGAGGCCTCGGTGCGCTGTCTCGCCCTGGCCCAGGGCGGCGCCGTCGTCGCCAGCTGCGGCACGGATCGCACTCTGCGCCTGTGGCGCGGTGGCAAATTCGCCCAGACCATCGCGGTGCCCGTGGAGGGCGAGGTCTGGTGCTGCGAGCTACTGCCGGGCACGGGTGACCTCGTCTGTGGCGCCGGTGACGGCATCCTGAGGCTGTTCACCGCCGATCCCAAGAGGTACGCCGCAAAGGAGCTGGTGACCAAGTACGATACCGAGCTGATCGGTATGGTGAAGGAGAAGTGCACCAAGAGCAACAACGAGAAAGAGTGAGTACATTTAGGACAATACCGATTTTTTTTTGCGCGCGTACAGTGTGGTACCAAGGTTGATTAATTCATTGATTGATTTAATGATATTTTTTTTATTAATTAATTTATTCATTCATTCACTCATTCATTTTGTTTATCACGTTTTTTTGCGATACGGAATTAATATTAACATTTATTTATTCATTCCTTGTTCGCCGTGTGTTTAATCACGGTCCAAGGGGTATTTAATACTCTTTTCATTATTTGTTTAGATAAAGTCAATATTTTTTCTCGAAAATTCATGTATAGGGAATGTCGGGTGTGTTTTTTCAGAATCTGGTATGAATTTGCGGTAGATAATAATTATATCAATATAAATTTTTCAATGAAACAATAAGTAACGTGATTTTTCGACTTCGAATTTTATTTCAATGTCGCAGTTCTATACATTTTTTAGTCTTAGAAGAGCTGAAATAACACTAAGAGTATATTTTTAAATTGGTGAACTTAGATGGGGCTGCGGTATGAAAATGTATGAATTTTTTGCTCGTCAACCATCAACTTTACGAAAAAATATTATAGAATAAAAAGTGTTTGAAATTATTCTGAGAATACTTTTTTCAACATTTTGTATTTTGCAAGACATGGTCACATTTTTCTTGGTATTAGTTGTTTTTGAACGAAAGGCTTTTTTACACATGATTGAAAATTTATTTGCAATATTGCAAATTCGGACGCTAAAGGATTGATCTATGAATTAATTAATCAATCTATTTTCTGTACCCATCAATTAATTAATTGATTTATTTATTTATGTACTTTTTGCCTCGTTTTGTCAAGCACCATAGGCTATCAAAATTAGGTGACTTATTCATTAATCAATCAAACAATTTTATAATTTATTCTTTCGCGTTATTTTTTTGTCACTTTTTTGCCACGAACCTCGCGTATTAAAACAAATCGATTAAGTTATTTATCTGAGAATGAATTAATTTGATACATTTTTTAAGTTACTTTTCCCCACTAGGGTTTTTTTTGCTACGCTGCATGCAGTGTCAACATTTGTTGATTAATTAATTGAAAAATATTTAAATGTATTTATTCGAGTCTATTTTTACATATGGGTCAGATTCAGAATTTTTTAAATAAATCTGCGCTCGTATGTCACCGATCTTGACGCGCTTTTGGTATGTTATAGTACATCATAAAAGAGTCCTAACACCAAAATTTTAGACCCCCTCGCCCCTCCTACCCCTCACCCTCGCTATCAACGTCTATTTTCTATTGATATTTATTCTGAAGCCCTGAAGTAATTAAAAAATCTGAAAAAAGTCATGAAGGTACTTTTCAACAATTCAAAACACCTTGAATTTTTTTAGATTTTTTGAGTGCTTCAGAAAAAATCATTGAAAATTATAATTATTTTATTTTCAGTGAAATGGTTCGATATACCAGACCGGAGCATTTTTTTCTTAATTCTGATACCAAAAAACAATTCCTTGAACTTTTTCTGAACTTTTCATTCATGCCGATGAAGCCTAGAGCTGAAAAGCCGCTTTTTTTCACGAAAATAATTTTTTTAGGGCGATACGAAGCTTAGAAAAATTTAGAAAATTTTTTTCTTTTTTTGCTCATCGAAATACACAATTTCAAATTTTCCTGGAACCCGATGGTTCCGGTAAAAAAAATCTGAAAAATTTCAAGGTTGTTTGTACAGTTGATTAGTACACCTTCATGAATTTTTTCAGATTTCTTAATTACTTCAAGGCTTCAGAATAAATATCAATAGAAAATAGACGTTGATAGCGGGGGTGGGAGGTAGAAGGGGGGAGGGGGTCTAAAATTTTGGTATTAGGACCTCGCCCGCAGGTTTATTTTAAAAATTCTGAATCTGTCCCATACACTATTTGTCTCGTATCACCTGGCATTAAAGTTGATTTATTCACTTGTCAATTAACTCTTCCCCCCTCAGAAAACAGCCCTTGGAGGAGCTGATTCAACCGGGCGCCGCAGGCGGCCAAACGATTATCATCAACGAGGGCTCGGGCGAGATCAACAGCTACACGTGGTGCGATCACAACAACAAGTGGCACCGCATAGCCGAGGTCATGGAGACGGTCGACGAGAAGACGCCCGACGGCCGCACTATATTCGAGGGCCGCGCCTGGGACCACGTGCTGCCCGTAGCGATCGGTAAGAACGCCCCGCCCAACGCCAGGGTGGCCTTCAACGACGGCGACAATCTGGACGTGGTGGCGCGTCAATTCGTCCGAAGGTACGGCCTCGATCGGGACAAGATCCCGGAGGTACTCCAGTTCATTCGGGCGAGCATAGGCGCGCGATCGGTGCTCGACGGCCGATCCGGCCAGGAGCTGTTTCAGCAGCGGGGCGAGAGTCGCGTGGTGCCGCGCAACAATGTCGTCACGGGGGAGCAGTACTTGCCCCAGAAGCAGTACGTGAAGATGAAGGCCGTCCAGCTGGCCGGTATAATAGGTAAGTGGACCGGAAACCATCGAAACCGAGATTCTAGTATTTCGCTCGTGAAAATTAACCGATTTTTCTTACCCCTTCCAGACAGAATACTCGAATTCAATCGCGAGTGCATACCGACCTTCCCGATCGACAAGCTCGTCTGCCAGAACAACTCCGTCACCATCGAAGACAAAGCCAAGAAGAAGCTCGTGGTCAATCAGATCTTTGAGGTGGCCTCGCGCTGGCCCGCGCACAAAGTCTACCCGATCCTGGACCTGGCTCGACTCATCGTGCTCGACAAAGAGACGAACGAGCTGATGTACGCCGATCCCTGGAAACTGCTGGAATTGCTCAGGCGATTCTTGCCACCAAAGTCCGATGATACTGCTGCTACTACTACTGGTGGCCCCGCTCGGATGCTCGTGCTGCGTTTACTCGCCAATTCGTTCGTGGAAGAGTGCGGCGAGACATTTTTCAGTCACTATTTCGAGACTGTGAACAGTCTGATTCGTGATACGGAGATCGGCGGAAGACACGTCGAGGTACGTTTACTTTACTTTCTAGCGTGAAAAAAAAAGATCTTTTTTAAGATACTTAATTATGAACGTCTGAAATATGAGCCTCGGTAACAATAGTTTTTCTCCGAGACATTTCGTACCAAAAAGATATTCATTGAATACTTCGATTTTAAATTGTAAAATCTCAACAATGTCTGAGTGCTAAGCAATTGTTGCACTTCTCAAAAACATCTTACTACAGGTCGTAATTGAGACGTTCTTAAAAAGATTTTTAAAAAGATCTTTTTCGCTCGAAGCATCTTTATACCATATACAGCGAGCTTTTGCACGATACGCAACGTCGTCTGACTCTATATTGATTTTTCTCTCTCTCTCTCTCCGCTTTGCAGATCGCAGCCGCGACGTACGTCCTTAACGCGGCCGTGGCCGCCAGCGCGACGGACGATCCGGCGGGCCAATGCAACGCCTTCAGCCTGGCCATGCGGCTGATGAAGGACACGCGCGACCCCGAGGCCAGGTTCCGGCTGCTCGTGGCGCTGGGCACCCTCCTCGCCGAGATCATGTGCGAGCAGCAGCACGAGAACTTCGTCGCCACGCTGAGGATGAGCGAGGACTTCTTCGGCTTTCTCGCCGAGGCGCTGAGCGCCCCCGAGCCCCAGAAGCTATCCAAGGTCGCGCTCGAAGTCAAGAATCTCGTTTACGACTGTTAGTCGTCGGGGGGTGCGATACGGATACGGACGTACGAAGGGGATGGACTGTGATTTAGGCGTACAATTTTACGAGACTGACGTAGGGATACTGTTGCTTTGTATAGAGATTTATTGTTAATTAAGATGTAAGGCATGTACGGGATTTGTCTTTTACAAAGTGAACTGACTTTTCGAAGAAACGTGTAAATATGTATATATTCATGTATCTTTATCCTTCGATACTATTTGAAGCTTCCCGTTGAAAAACTGAAATTTTGAATGTATGGATGGATAGGTGACGACGTAAACACAACGTTTTTTTTTGTTATTTTTAAGTTAAAAAGAAAGTTATATTTTTGTTTTGTTGAGTGCTGTTTTATCTTTATCATATACATATTTTATGTACAACGAAGATTTTACAAAATAAATGCACGATTTTCATAATAACCGTTTTATTTCCTATTTGATTGAGACTTCCTTCCTTTTTTTTAACACAGTAAACATTCACTCGTGGATAATTTTTCACAATCAACAAACAACGATTTGTCTCTGGATTATATAAATAGTCATTATCATTTTTTGTATTTTCTATTTCTTTGAACAACGATTTGATGTTGGTCAATAAAATTCATCGGTCTTTCTTTTAAGATTATTATAATAAGTTCATCGTCGCGTATATATATATAATATCGATGTGTTTCACAAAAACGACGTTTATTAATTTTTTTGTTTACTATTTTAAAGGGTAGTGTCGGCTATTTTTCACGGCTTTTTTTGCAACAATTTATTTACCTTATTATTTTGTAATAGCCTATTGTTTATTCATGCAATGGGTTATTGGAAAAATATATCATAGGTATATACGTTTTCACTCGAATGTCGTTATTTTTTTTTCGTCACCCTTGTAAAAAAATAAAGTCATCTTTCCTCTCTGCTTTTACATTTTTTTTTTATCTCCTCCCAACCACGCGTCAATGAATAAGGCTCCGAACGAACTTTCGCTCCTCGTCCATCGAACCATTGTTACTAATTTTTTTTTTTTTTTGTACTCGACATCAACCACTTTTTAGTTATATTTTTCTTACGAGAGTAAAAAAGAATTGAGACAAAGTTTTGCTCGCGGTTGACCCACACGCCACGTATTATATAAGACATCGTACGGTACGTAAATTTACAACCTGTTCCTACAAAAGTTTTACAGCAGTTTTATATATTTATTTAAGTAATAGTCTAAAAAGTATTTCTCGACTCTTATACAAAGTTTGAAATCTTTACGTTTATAAGATAATAATGAGTTTCATCTCGAAAAAGGAAATTGAGAGAATAATTGTACAGACGGCGTCTTATTACACAGGAGGCAGAGTTGTCCATAGATCGGGTATATATAATATTATATTTAAATTCAACATTATCGTTATACATGTAAGTCAATCAAGAAATATACGCGAGTAATATTTTTTTTATGCTCTCTCGTCGATCATTGTTATATTGGCATATTCTCGAACACGCCGAGTAATTCGTATTATATTATAATAATCCATCATCTCACTCGTGAAGCGAAATTACACAATTAATGAAAAAAAAAAAAATTAATTCAAACTCCTGTCCAAGGTCAATGCGAACAACGTCATCATCAGCGCGCACACACACACCTGACCCCTCGGTGCGCATATATATAGAAATTGACCTTTGTGTGCAGGTAATGCATGAAGAACATAACGTAACAGAAAATTCCTTTATCGCGAGGGGTGTATTTTTATCTCTTTCTCTCGCTCTCTCGGAGGGATGAATGATGTAAAAATCAAAAGTGTTATTATTATCGAATTCGATAGATAGCTGCTGACTGCACTGCATCGCGTGCGCCGCGGCTCCGCGCGTCATCGCATCGTGTAATGATGGAAGCCGCCTCTTTTTCTTAAAATAATCACGCGGCTCTGTGCAGAGAGAGAGAGAGAGAGAGAGGCGCATTATAATCCGTGTGCTTTTTGGCAAATTTTCTACTTTGGCATGAGGAATGAAAACGACTCGACTTCTCTTAGGCGCGTGAAAAAATTACCCATCGAAGTACAGATATATATATAGAATTTACGAATATTTAATAACATCTTGTCCGTAGAAAAGTTGTGAAAATTCGTGTGCTTTTTGGTATTGTGTGCGAATGTGCCGAAATTTTATGAGCTGTGTGACGTGTGTGTGTGTGAAAATTTCTCTTTTATCGATTTTTAGAAATTTGAAAAAGCTGTAAAAGTGAAAAATTAAACTCACAAACGCGTTACGACGATATAACTCTATTTAACACACCGATACAACTATATATCGTTAATATATCGTAAAAAAGTCAACGTTCTTGTGAAATATTTTATTAATAATATTCTTTTCCTTTATCTTGTTTAGTCGTACGAATATATCAACAGCTCAAAATACGAAAATAAAGTATAGTCGAGTTTTTTTTTTTCATGAACATTTCCACAGAGTATATTTTACTTCGTTTTCACTCGCGGAGACGAGTGAAACGTCGAAGCTTTTTCGCTCGTTATAATTTTTTTTTTCTTTATTTTTTATACAATTGCGTTACATTTTTTTCATCGTTCGATTATAAAAAAATTATATAACTCTAAATAAAATTAACCGCGAAATATAGATAGAAGTCGATGAAATAATACTAATGGCTTAAAAACGATCGAATAACTTAATATAAAAAAGAGGTTATAAAAAAATTACGAAAATTATTCCGTGCGACGTTTCCATTTTTTTCTTCTTCTTTTCTTTTCCGAGGGCGAAAAATATTCATTTACACAGCATTGAAAATTCGCACCGCTCGCGTATATATAGCACCAGCCGTATCGAATTACAATTATACATAAAATATATATATGCGTAAAAAAAGCGTCGAAAGCGTCGATATTGTAATAATATTTTTAAAAAAATGGAGCGAACATCGCTCTGCTATCCGATTGACGGAAAAAAAATTCAATAGACGTTTCATATGGCAAATAAATATCACGACTGTTGTCATTCATATTTAAAAAAAAATAGTATGAAAAAAAACAATAAATAATCAACAATCGAATTAAAAATCTAAACGTTAAATTAATTAAATCCTCGAGAAATCGCGTTCGATATCGTTAATTACAGTAATAATCTGTATATACGTCACATTTGCGCAATATATTATTTAGTTTTTTTGTTTTATACACAGACGCATTAATAATGCCTAACATACACACGCCATATACATACACACATAACACGCATACATCTTCACAAATACACATACATAGAAACATAAAAAAGAATCACAGTGCTACACGCGCGTATCAATGCTTTATACACTCATCGCACACATATATCTATATACATGCATCGTCGTATCGTTTCTCGTATATTCCTCTCTTCGTACTTGTAACAAGCCTCGTTTCCAACGAACGGAGATAAAAATAAAGAAGAAACGCGTTTATATGCGTACCCCTCCGAAACGCGAGATACAATTTCAGCGCAGCGATTTCGTTATAATTTTTTTTTTGTTTTGTTTTTCTTTCTTTCTCCGTATATCGCAGATATATATATTTATAAATATACAACGGGCAATACAGACACAATTACAACATTATACACTTGAGAATTTTTATATAGTATAGGATGAGAGTGATTATGGAAAAAACACCACACGTGCACGCACTCTTGCTTTTCTCATAATCAACTCGTCGAAGGTGTCATGTATATAAATACAATATATAACCGTTGCACACAGACGGTGTATATTCGTATTTTTATTGCACTAATACTTTTTCTTTCTTTCTTTCTTTCTTTCGTTTTTTCTTTCTTTTACATCCATGCCATAGGGTAGGGAAAGACGCTTGTCATCACTATATTATATACTTTTCTACACAATCGTACAGTCATTCATATGTATTCGGTTCCTGCAAAAAACGAATTGAAAACATTTTCAACTTTAAACAATCATCGTTTCCGTATATATCATCTCAATTATATATATAATATTTTTTTGTCATATATCATGCGTGTGACTCTAAGGGATGACCCGCGACTATACACAGTTTCATCGTTTTTAAAACTTGTACGGGGTCACCCCTTGCCCGTCTCAATCGGCCGGCGTGCTCGATGCCCAACGATCGAACTCGATGCCCGAGTCCGGGCTCAGACCCATGTCGAGCGGACTGAGAAAGCTGCTGCCCGTGGAGGTCGGACAGCTGCACTGCTGCCCGATGGGACAGCTCTGACAGCTCTTTGCCTGCTGGTGGTGCTTCTTGTGGTGATGATGATGATGATGACTATGACTATGACTGTGTTGATGATTGATCTGATTCAGATGATTCTGATGCTGTATGTGCTGATAATGCTCGTGAAGATGATGCTGCTGAGTAACTCCACCTTCTACGTGTTGACTGCTGCTGCTGCTGCTGCTAACGCAGGCGTCAGTGGCGCTCGACGATCCGCAGCCGTCCATGAGCTGCTGCTGTCGGAGATCTCTGAGCTCGCCCTCGAAGCTGTGCAGCTGCTCCATGAAGTGGAAGTTGGGGGCGATGTTGGACTTGCGGCTGCGCACGAGATTGAAGGCGTCGTTGAGGCTGAGATTGCACTTGTGCATGAGGTAAGCCATGGTGACGGTGACCGAGCGCGATATGCCGGCCAGGCAGTGCACCAGCACGCCCTTGTCGGCGCTCCTCGCTTCCTCTGCGACGATGAAAAAAAAAAAAGTCGTTGAAAATAATTTCCTTTCGGAGAGAGAGACGAGTTATAGCGACGACACTTACCGATAAATTGTATGGCTTGGGGAAAGAAGCTGGCGAGATTGGCGGACCAGTGGTCGCTTATGGGTATCTTCATGTACTTGATGCTGCCCGCGTCCTCGAAGACGTTGGGCAGGTCCGGGGTGACGTTGAGCACGTACTGGATGCCGTGGCGGGTCAGCGCCTCGCTGTCCTCGCTGTTCGCCGCGTTACCCAGATACAGGTGCGGAACTATCTCCACGGGAAAGTCTTTGTCGTCGTCTGGGCCTAGAACAATCATTTATATGAATTTTTTAATATACACATCGGAGTGAGAGAGAAATATTTTTTAAGCAAAAAGATCATAGATGATTACCGATGGAGTCGCAGGTACTGTCGCTGTCGGAGTCGCTGTAGGCCCTGGCGGGCGGTGCCGATATTCTCAGCGATCTCAAGCCCATGAGCTCGGCGCCGTCGTTGCCGCCGCCTCGCGCCGCGCCATTACCCGCAGCTCCGCCGCCGGGAGTCGTCGCGTTGTTCGCGTTCGTCGTCTGCGTCGGGTCGTGGTGGGCCGTGCCCTCGCACCATTCCGGATATCTGTCCTTGAAGGCGCCGAAGCCGCCTGGAGAACAACAACAAAAAAAGTATTGTTATTGCAAATCGTATCGATTGTTATGCTATTTAGCTTTGATCAGGCTGGCTATAAATATCGAAAAAAAGTAATCTTCGAACGCGATTTCGATCGACCCACGCGCGTTGCATCGCTCGAGTTGTGTATCGACGCATATTATACAATTATATGTGTATACATTTTTCCCATATATAGAGCCGCATCAGCAGCCGAGGAAAAGCCTTCACCCACATTTATTCTGGCCCCCGCACACGGGTACATTATCTCGGAAGCGCGTGCGGAGCCTTTTAAAAGGCACAAACACACACACACATATGCATATATAACGCTCGGGACTTCCGCGACATGCGCGCGCGCTTTTGCGCTTGCGATTACTCCTCCTTGCTCTGCTCTGCTGTGTGGGTGGCTCGAGTATAGATCTCTCTGTACTCTACGTATATACATGAGCTTTCGAGCTTCGATGTGTGTATGTAAGCTGAGTGTGGGTGGGTGGGCTTTATAAGCGATTCTACTGCTGCTGCTGCTCCCACGCGAATCAATATTTCATTCACAACTTATGAACGCCTGTAGGCTGCCGCTGCTGCGCGCGTATATATTACGTACGTATACGTACACTGAATTACTGAACTGCTGCTGCTGCTGCTGCTGCTGCTGCTGCTGTGGTCTTTTAGCACGAGACTTTCTCATCGTGTGCGATGTGTCACGAGTGTGTATTTGTGATGATGCTCCGCATTGGTCATATGCGTTGGTGTACGCGTGTGTATTATTACGTTTAAACCGTATACTCCCCCGCGAGCTTTTGTACTTATTATAAACACACACACACACACAATTACACGGCTCCGACAAATTACTCGTTGGCGTCGTCGTCATTTCACACACACACGCACACGAGTATATAAATGATTTATCGTGTGTAAGTGTGTGTACGCGCGGATGCAGACTGTAGTCGTCGTCGGTTGCCGATCGATCCACCTCGCTTCTACACCCACCCTTATAAATGGACGAGAAAACGTAGTAACAGCAGCAGAAGCAGTGGTAGCCTGTGTGTGCGTGTGTGTATGCGATTCAACAAATTTTTAAACTCCGCACAGAGCGAAACACCACCCACGCGCTCGTGACATATACGTATATTCATGAATCCTTTTTTTTTTCGTCGTTATATTCGCACATATACAATTGCGAGCCTTGAGCGAAAAAATAACCGCGTGTGTGACCTTTATAATAAACGCGTCCCACACCACCACCACCACCAGCGACCAACGCCATTGAAAAAAAAACTCCTAATTACATTTCGGATGGGTATTGAAAAAAAAAAAGTGTATAATTAACGTGGAGCGTCACTTTTCGTCGTTTCAGCTTCGTATTTTATATATATAAGACGCCGTTGTCGCTGTTTACGCCTTTACTTCTTTCTTTTTTTTTTTCAAAGCCATATTGCCTCGTGTGCCCGCGCGCCGTGAGATTGTCTGCGAGTAGCAGCAGCAGCAGCAGTACACAACCGGAAACGGAAAGCGGAAATAAGTTCCGGGCATAAATTTCTCTCCCTCGCGCACTCTTTCTCGTTTCTTTCATTTCTTTTCTCTCTCTCTCTCTCTCTCTTACTTTGCTCGTGCGCCTCTGCCGCCGCCGTGTTTTATTTATACTTTAACTTCGCGCATATATATGTATTATATTTTCGAGTCAAGGTCGTTACCGACTTCTTCTTTTTTTTTTTTACTTTTAATAAGCCCATACACACACACACAATACACGTCAAAAGGAGTAAAAAAGAATATCCCACGCGTGGGTACACAACGCGACAGTCGTGTATAGTACACTTACACGGTATAATAATATTGCGCGCATATGTACGCGCGGGGGTCATTCATTCAAGTGTGTGTGCGCTGCACTGCACGACTATATATCACACGTGCGAAAGTATGTGTCGAGCTGCTGCCGCCGCATTATATGGTGAATGAACTCGTCGGGGCACATTCGCGTACATACATTACACATGCATCGTGGTTTACGAGTCATTTTCTAGGAGTGAAAGTTACTATCTATACATACGTATACGCGCGGGGGTCTGCATATGCTAAGTAATAATAAATAATTCGCACGCGTCGATTATGTTTAATACACACGTTGCATGTGGCGCGGGGCGCATTATAGAGTATATAAACTTCGTTTTCTAGGAAGACGAGAATTAAAAAACAAGAGAAGGAGTTGCGAATTCAGCTATAAAAGGCGCGGGGTAATTCGACACGATTTTTGATACCCCCGCGCGTATTGTATATCAAAAAATCCTCCACACTTATATACCTCGCGGCACGTTCGTCGAATCGAACGAATATCCTCTTTTAATTATAACGTATGTAATAATGATATTATTAAGAACCGAGTGCGTGTGTATGTGTGTGTGCTTCAGCGCGTTATCGCACGCGATTCTTTTTTTTTATATTAGGTACACTCGTTTTACCTCGAGCGACGAGTCTTATCTGCATCGCGAGCACATATTATAAAACTCGATCGATGAAAGAACAAGAAAAAAGATTTCATTCATGTCTCGCGCGCACCAGCGAGCATCGACTTCTCATTGTTACATTATTATTACGAGAAAAAATAAAGAAAAGAAAGAAAGAAAGAAAAGAATTACGCGCATATAATTCGACTACAATCACACGCGTGTATGTACACACAATATTTTTCTGCGCCTTCCCACCTCGCTATATACGTATACTTCTCTACTATATACACTTATTTCTTTTCTTTTTTTTTTTTAAGAATGAAAAGCTTCGCCGAACGCACGTCGTGGCACGAGGTAGCGCGCGTGGTGCTCCGCTGCTGCTCGTGAATGGATCACAGCGCCATTCTCGACTCGTGAACACACACACACACAGCTAAATGGGCGCGCGCGCACACGCTATACATACACACACACACACATACTTCGGAGTCAGCAGCAGTAGTGCCGAGCCCCGAGTTCGTAGAGCTCATTTTCATGAATCAATATAACCAGCTCCGTCTCTTTCTCGCCGCAGAGCATTACACACGTATAAACACAGACACACACATGCATGCGTGACAGACCTGCTTGAGAGAGAGAGAGCCACGAGGAATATTATATATACGAGAAGCAGCAGCAAGTTGTGCCTCGCACGAATACTCGATACATGTATCTGTGTGTTAGAGAGACCATGAAAGAAGCGAAAGAGAGAGAGAGAGAGAGAAACGAGAATATTTTTCGGAGAAAAAGTACGTGTGCATGTGTGTGCGTGTGTATGTATACTTATATACACATACCGATGTATATATACTACATACTATACTATACGGTACGCGACGACGACGAGCTGAGCGAGAGAGACTCCTTTTTATAAAAGAAGCTCAGCTCTCGCATACACGCTAACCGGAAGAGGAGAGTTTACACACTTTTATACATGTACGTATATGTACGAGGTATGCGTATATTATACACATACAAACATACGTATGGCTGTGTGGTATGCAATTTTTCGTACGTTTTTAAGAACTTTTATTTATTTATTCGTCGTCGAAACGTTTCATTGACTGAAAAAGAGCTTATCAATCGAGTCGAGAGAGAGAGAGAGAGCAAATAATACACCTGTTATTACATTACATATACGTGTGTACGTAGCGCAGCGATAACGAGGTAAAGAAGAAAAGAAAAAAAAATAGGTATTATACACACGATTGTGTGTGTACGTGCGCGTTGGTGAATGAAACTTCCTCTCTCTCTGTCTCGCGATATAATCGGCATGCAAAACTACTCGCTCGCGCGGATCAAAACTATATACTGAAATAAACAAAATAAAAAAAGTAAATAAAGTAAATATAATGTACCTTCGAGCAGGGCCACCTGGGCGCCGCAGCACTCGAGCCTCTTGGCCAGCACCGCGATCGTCTCGGCCTGGTGTCCGGCTGGCTCCGTGGCGTCGCCCACCAGTACGAATCTCGACGACGACGTCGAAGAATTAGTTTCTGAGTCATCGTCCCGCTTCAGCATGCGCTCGACGCGCGACCTCAGCTCCTGGCACTTGATGGTGGCCAGCAGGTCGACCTTGCCCGCGGCCAGCCGCCTCAGCATGATCGTCGGGATGGCGAGGGCCACGCTGCCGCGCACCCGCGACTCCGCGTAAGCCTGGCCCTGGCCCCGGCAGTCGATCACGAGCAGCTCGTGATTGTTCGAGGAAGAAGCACCGTTGATTCTGGCGAGCTCGTCGCGCAGCCAGTCGCCGCTGACCAGCTCCATGCTGCTACTACTGATACCACTGATACCAATGCTGCTGCTGCTGCTGCTTACTATCGTGTTGTTATTGTTGTTGTTATAGTAGAGATGATGATGATGATGATGATGATGACGATTGTTATTGTTGATGTTGACGTTAACTGCTGCCGAGATGCTGCTGAAGTCTTGGCTGTGGTGGCGGTGGTGGCTGTTAACTAAGAGATCCGTCTGCATGATCATGATGATTGGGATTGGATGACGATGGATGATGACGACGACGACGATGATGATGATTTGGGCGATGTTGATGTAGATGGCTGCTCTCGACTTTAACAATCATAACATTCGACGTGATTTTGACAGTTCTCCGTTATTATGAGCTATATTCACTCTCACTGTACTATAACATTGATATAGTATTAATTGAAGGCTCCGAAATTTTGCGCGCGACAATTTGGATCTTCGTGTACTATCACTAATTTGGCTCACTGCTATATATATCGTATCGACACACTCCACGCGCGCACACAAGTTGCACTGAATGAATCTCGTTACGACCAACGAATAAGAAATAAAAAACCAAGGAGAGAGAGGATACGGAAAAAAACACAAAAAGGGTCTCCTCTCCTACGCGTTTTCTCAATATATGTATGCGACACTGCTTATATCGTTAACAACGAGGATCGATGATATATTTTTTACGATATATATCTTAATTTATGGTACGAAACGGCACACGCGCAAAATGCTACTAAACGCACTCGCTGTCTCTCGGAGAGGCCTCGTATGATATAGCGAGCGGACGAGCACTTCCTTGGCCGAGTCTAGATTGAAAACTGTCCGCGGCGAGGCGAGCGCAAGCGCATAATACCCCTACACCCAGAGAGCAGAGCAGAGCAGAGAGTGAGTATGAGTGTGTGTGCGTGAGTGAGCGAGCGAGAGAGACGGAGAGAGCTATATATAGATATAATAATGTGCGTGCAGCAGGGGCTTTTGCCTTTCTTGCTGCTATGTGCCAACGCGCAGAGCTCCCACTTTGCAAAGTGTATATAAGTGTAGTGGTATACGTGTGTGTGTTAGGTATATAGATATATATATATTGCGGACACGGAATCTCGCGTGGGCTGGCTATATACGTATATATATATCGCGCTTTGGCTTTGCCGTTTGCGAGCTGTTTCCTCTCTGCTGCTGCTGAGCTACAGCTACAGCAGCAGCAAACAGTGGGAGAGGGAGAGACTCCGATCTCATCTCTGTCTCTCTTTCGCACTCTTATACACACACACACACATACACACGTATAAGCTGCTGCATCTCTCAGAGTTCTCTCAAAGGCATGAGGCAGCATCGCAGCTCTTCTACTTCTTCCTCCTCCTCCTCCTCCTCTTCATCTTCAACTACTTTTTTGCACAGCATGCGAATGCATATACACGTACACACACAACTGCGTATATACTACACTCTACACAGTGACGCGCTTTATATATCATTTTATATTATCACTCTTTTTTCAAACGATATTCGGATTCCGACTTCGCAGAGATACACACGACACAAAGTTATTGCGCGCGATGCGATATTACGCACGAAAATCGTCTCTTATAATGTAATGTATATACGTATAAAACGCGCAATATCCGGCTTGTATTCTAACGAGAAAAATAATAAAACAAAAAAACGAGAAGAATCAAAAAGGGAAATTGAGGATGCTGTGACTGTTGACTTTGATTTTTTTTTCACACACGCGCACGTACAGCAGCTATATACAGTACACCACGGATACTCGGAAAAATTTTCTCCCTTGACAACAATACCGTACATCTCGATTACGGCCTTTTTCCACGAGCGAGGTGTTACATTTCCCGCGAACATTCGTATACGCATTCGTACAATATAACGATATTAAAATGACAAAGAGACTGTATGTATCGCGCGATCGGACGAATCGAGTGAAAACGAAATTTCGTTTCATCGTGTATATAGAGGCGAAATATCGCTCGTGACAATGATACGATACACGTATATAAAAGCAAAATTAAAAATGCGTCGCATTGTGTGCAGCGCAGAGCAGCACAGCTCAGCGAAATTTCAGTCGCGGGGGGATCGTTATACTCGTATTACTACCGAGAGAGAGAGAGAGAGAGGCTATATTTATATGTATCGTCCGCCTTGTATATCGTGCACACTCGCAGGCAAGTGCGCGGGTGTGTAAAGTGCGGATCGTTGGACTTGAAGCCCACGACGAAGAAGAAGAAGAAGAAGAACGAAGCGAAGTACGAGAGGCAGCAGCAACAACAACGACCAAAAAAAAGGAGGAAAAATCGTGTATATATATAGCAGAGAGCGGAGTGCAGAGACGTGTGTACGAGATGTGCACTCGTTTACAACCCACGCACAAAAGTACATTAACGTACATATATGCGCCGCTCACGCTCCGCACGCTATATAATACGCTACACGATCCAAAAAGGCGTTTGCAATTTTCGGAGCGTTAGCAGCAGCAGCAGTAGTAGTAGTAAAAGTGAGCTATATGTATACAATGCGCGTGTACTCGCGAGGCCGCGTGCAGCAGTTCTCGCACTCACTCACGCATATATATATACGTACTACAGACGAATATCTACATATAAAATATAAGCGCAGATTCGTAAGCGAGTCAAGCTCGAGCTGCGTGCCGAGGGAGGCGAGAAATTAAAATCGAAACGAACCGTATCATTAGCTCAGGGTTGATCGATCGACCCTACCTCCCCCTTGACTCCTATGTGTTGCTGCTGCTGCTGCGTCACGGTGCACGTGCGGTGCATTAAACATTCGTGTGTTTTTTCACCAGATATATAGATAGATATGGTATTATAAGCTCTCCTCGAGTTTCGGGAAACGATCTATGTATTATGTACGTATGCACGAGCCCTATACGTGTATGCGAGAGATGCAAACTCGCACACACACATATACACACGACGGAGTTATATAGCGCGTAGGAAGCGCGAAGCGAGGTATTATAATACGCTCGCTCGCATTGGCTCCGGATCACGTGGTCTCGTCGAGGCAGCAGCAGCAGCACTACTGCATGCGAAAAGGCAGAACTGCGTATAACATTCGTATATCTATATCGATGTACCTTACAATATATACTCAACCAATGGCGCCTCCGTCACACGGACATTTACCCACACACTAGTCTTTTACGTCACGCTCCATTGACAAATATATAGATGTAAAGTACCACGGACGAGCTCATGTACATATCACGTCTTTATATGTGTGTATGTGTGTGTGCGAATTCTGCGCGGGAGTTCTCTTCGCGAGGGTGGATCTCTCTCGATCAGTGCAGCAGGTATATATACGTATATATGTGTATTTGAGTTTTCGCGCGGGAACACGCGACTGTGGTACAGCGACGCGCGGCAGCACACGGCGCGCGTGTTTTCTGCGAGCGAAGGACGCACCCATTGATGCCGACGACGATGATGATGATGATGATGATGAGTCTCTATATACTGTGCAAAAGCCCGCGTGGGTGTAGTATATACTCCTACTATTTACTACTACTACTACTACTGCTACTACGCGGGCTATATATACAATGCTGCACAATGAGAGCAAAGTTATATAGAACAACTATAGTGGTATACAGCGTTGACCGACGCGAGTAGTAGTAGCAGAAGGAAAAAAAAGTGAAATCTCTCTCTCTCTCGTCGCTCGGGCGTGGGTGTGTGTGTAACGACGCGCCTCAAATGTATTTATTATTTTACAGCGTGTGTCCAGCTGTATTTAACACATCAAGTACGCACTCACACGCATACGTATACGAGTCATTGCCGCTATACACAATGCCATCGCTCCAAAAACTCAATCGCTACTTCCGTAATTCTTCTTTTCTTCGGTTCCGGCCTTTGTCGGATGATCCGCTCTTATTTTTTTTTTTCGTTTCGTTGTTGTGCAGCACGCGCCCGTGTGTGATCGGAAACGGAACGATTTATAAATTTAAAAGTCTCGACTTTGAGAGCTGAGCGAGAGAAAATGTACCATAAGTGTCGTGGCGCGTGCCGCTGCCGCTCGATGTACACATTACAGATCCGGATGTGCATTTAATATACGTTCCGGATCCCATGATTATTTTCGGAAATCAATTAAAACTTTCTTGCGCGCCGCGTGTGTATTATATCCGCTTCCTATATATATTGACTATATCTCTCACCTGGCTCTCCGTAACTGACCTCGCGCGCACGGGCCGCGATACATAAAATATCGATATAAATATAAATATAGACGTAAGCGTATCGAAACCTATATAAATATATATATGTAAAGAACAAAAGAGCGGGCCGGAGTACATTTAAGTTTCCCGGAAGTCCGTGTAATTTCAATTGCTTCCATATATACATCGAATGAGTCAGAAAAAGGCCGAATAGCTTTTCTCGATTATTTGCAGGTGCCCGAGCGCGATCCGTGATCGATGAATCACTAACTATACTATACTACTACCGCAACGAACGCGTATTTCTTTTTCTTCTGTTTTTTTTCCTCGCCGCGTTCATTCACTCGATGGTGTATGTGTACGACTCAGCGCTTTCATTGATTTTTTAAGTTGATTCGATTCGATTCGCGCAGCGGTTACTTTATACTTTGGTGTATATGTGTAGACCTACCCACTCACGCGAGTCTGTGTATGTGTCACACACTTGCCGCCCGTGAATTTAATTATAATTTGTATAGTTATAAGATACACGAGTGACGCGCGGCAGACACGCAGAGTCCCGTTGTTTCTTTCTTTTTCTTTTTCTTTTTACTTTTCATCGAAGCGAGAGACAAGATCGCGGATGGATAACGTTTATATATTATATAAAAAAATATGCATCTTCTTGATCGCTGACGCACATACACCCGCGATTCATTAGCATATAAACACATTATCGGAAATTCATTTATAGATTTTTAACTCGATTTCGAAAAAGTACGTAGGAGGGCATTATATGCAGGTATTTATAATTTACGCGGATCGATATTTTTGGGGAAAATATCGTGGTATTATTATGACGCGCGTCTATATACACCTACGCCACATAAGTTGTATATATGTATCAAGTGCACATGGCTCGGGCTGGAATTCTCGATGAGCTGTCCGCGGAGCGATTTCCGGTCCACGCGTATATAAACGATGACTATATTTGCCTCCCTTTTTTTTTTTTGCTCAATCACGAAGTAAAGAAGAAAAAAATAAATGAAAGGTGCTCGCGGGTACGTACGTAGGCGTAACTACATCAAAACGACGTTGGTCATTTTTGGCATTACTCGCGCGCTATGATGGGAATCCGGGAAATGTATACTTGTAAAAAGAAGAAGAAGAAGATATAAATATCGTATATTTTTTTTTATTATTTACAAATATTATTGTTATAATATTCTTTTTTACGTATAAAATTCGTTTACATTATAGTTACTGAAACTCGATTGATAAATGCTACTCCTCCTTCACGCCAATCACGCATTATTACAGGCAATTATCGTTACGATATTATTATTATAAAATTATCGACGTATTTGGACGGTTTAATACGAGCATCGATCCTTGTCACATGCACTCGTTGTGTGTGTGTGTACCACAAGCATCGTGTGTCTTTCGTAATTGTATCTCTCTCGGACTTTTTATAATCGTTTTAAAAAAACTCCCGAGCTCCCCCCGCGCGCAGCGACGCGTACATCTAATTCTAATTTATGAATGGAATTATTATTACTTGCCCAACGTATACCACGTCGTTGATCGTGTTATTCATCCGCTTGTTATGCGCGCGACCAATTACGCGTATAGTACGTATTTTTATTCACACGATCGCCGATTCGGATTTCGTCACTGCGTTAATGCGGAAACTTCCGTACTCGATTCTTAATGTTTTGTGCGTGATGTTATATTATGCCAATGAAAGGAAAAAAAAAATAATTGAAACGAGATTTCGTTTTGATTGCGCGAGTTCCTTTATGTGATTTTTACCTAATATATATCGCGATAATTCTAACGAAACAAACGAAAAAATTTCTCGGGTCGGTTCAATAGAAATACGATAAAAAGTACGACTTTTATCGTTTACATTGAATTGAGTCCAAAAAAAAACAACACTTTTTTCTCACCTAAATTAATATAACTATTATCGTACGATAATGTATCGGATACAACGAGATTAAACATCATTATTATTTACAAACATTTGTATACTTAATTTAATTAAGTCTTTGACATGAATCGTTGGTCTCATATAATAATAATCATAATAAGTAATTAATAAACTTATAAAATAGATACACACGTTAAATATAAAATATACGCATTAAAATCGAGAGGCACCTGGAGAAAAACATTTTTCTTTTTTTGTTTTTTTTTTATTTTGCGAGCTTCGACGAAATATACAGAAAAATATAATGAGGCAGCTCGCAAATGGCACCGCACGTGTTATAAATGTTCTACTACTGTAGCATAGAGAAGGCTTTCAAGAAAATTAATAATTTTATTTCGCTTCTTTTTTTATTTTTCGCTCGCCTTTCGATACGACATTATCGCGATATACAGAAAAAGCGAATCATTAATTAGCGTTATTGCACACCTGTTTCGCGACGGAGTTTCGTGTACTTATGGCGGAGATGAGATATATAGAGAGCAAAACATAACAAATTGATTAATTAACCGCCGTACAGCTTCTATCTAGATACTATCATTTTCTTCTCTCTCCGTTCTCGACGTAAATATTACGTTTTAGAAGGAGCAAAAAAAAAACAGAAAAAATGCATATTATTATGGCAGATAGAAATCAAGGCTTGTTGGGCACGCTCTCGAGCTTGTTCTTGGCGTTGGGATGCCTGCAGTAGCCGAACACGCAGACGATGGCCAGCAGCACCACGCCCAGGGCCAGCAGCAGCCAAGCCTCGTCGAGCGTCATCATCGTCGTCGTCGTCCCCCCACTGGCAGCATCCAATTGATCGTAGTAGTAGCCGAGCTCCCTCAAGGCCAGCTCGCCGTCCGGTATCTCGCAGGCGCTCTGAGTTATGATGTCCTGACGCTGTATCTGCTTGGCCTTGCAGTTCTTGAGTCGCTGCATGGTCTCGGGGCTGTGCAGCGGCGGCAGCAGCTGCGCCATGACCCAGCGCAGCGGACTGAGCCAACCCAGCCAGCCGTAGAGATTGCCGAGGTGCAGAGTGAGGCCCGAGGCGAGGGTCGACTGGCCCAGCAGCAGGCCCGAGCAGAGGAGGCCGAGGAACGACCAGCTGGTGGCGAACAGATGGCAGAGCAGCGAGCAGAGATAGTGCTGGAGCAGGAGAAAGACGAGGCCGAGGCTGAGGAAGCGCCAGAAGTTGTCGAGCTTCTCCTCGTGGCTGAGCAGGCTGGCGCCCTCGGGCGAGCTCGGGCCCAGATGGAGGCCGGTGAGGGCGTAGGCCGGCGCCAGGTAGGCCAGATAGACCAGACACCAGGAGGGTATGCTGCACATGATCTGCTCGCGAGGAGCAGGAGGAGGAGAAAAAGAATTCGTTATTAAATTCGAGTGCGAAGGTTTCGGGACTGTACAATTTAAATCATTTATACAATGCTGACTTATACAATATTGATACAATTTGACTTATACAATCATTTTGACTTTGCCACTTGCAGATTTACAGATAATGGTACTCGCCATCTAGTGGCGAAGGCTCAATGTTGCATTATTGAGTTAAGACTGATTGAAGACTAATTTAAATATTTTGTAAATTTTCCGGTAATTTAAAATATTTTTGACATAATTGCAACTGAACAATCGCCAAAAACAAATTGATTATTGGCAATATATAAGGTAAATCTACCGGTACTCGACCGCTTAAGAAAAATCCTTCCTTTTTTTCTCATAAAGATTGAACATAACGTTGAAAAATATTGTCTAATACTTTCTGACTATAGAAGAACTAATATTTCGAATGAGTACTAATACTTGATAAAAAAAATGCTTGATTAAAAAATACGAATGGTTTAGTTGCCGACAACCCTACTGAACTATCAGCATCAACTTAGAAGTTCATTATATGGTTATTTTCAAAGACTTTGAGAAAAATTTTCACTGAATCATAATTTTTTTTAATTAATATTTATTTAAATAATAGCTCACGGTGCTTTGTTACTAGTAGGTTTACCCTATTTCAAAATATCTCAAATGTCCATTCTTCTGTCATTAAGCCAATATTTACGTTGAAAAATGTATTTACCTCAACGAGTATGTAGATGAATCTCCAATATATGCCAGCCTTGAAATCCGTCTCGGCGTAGGGCCTCGTGCGCGTGATCTCCTGCAGGCCCATCAGGCACAGCGGCCAGAACATCACCCCGAGACAGGCGTAATGGAAGCCCGCCCGATCCCTCAGATGGAGATTCGAGTCGTTGGCGACGCCCTGGAAGCAGGCGCCGAGCGCCAGGCCCAGCGACACAGCCACGAGCAGCTTGAGCACGAGACGCTTCAGGCTCCAGGGCTGACTGTAGACGAGCTTGCGCAGAAACAGCGCGTAGATCTGGCCGCAGAGGTGGGAGCTGCGCGCCGCCGTGGGCAGACCCGAGCCCGAGGCCTGGGGCTCGCTCAGGCCCGGCAGGCGGGCGCGCGCGAGCTCGGCCAGGTGCTCGATGCGCTGCGACGACTCGAGCATCGCCTCGGCCGAGAGATCGTCGAGAGTCACCAGGTCGACTGCGGAGAAAGGGGAGAGTAATGATGAATGGTTGTTGAGTGTGAATTTTGTATCAGGGGAGGTTTGAGGTCTGGTTAATTAGTTTCAGAGAGTGCATTATCGAATAATTAATTGTTTTTGTTTAAAGAAGATTGTATAAAAAAATGTTTTCTATGACCATCCCTATGAAATTAAGAAATAATTAATCTTTCTCTTTTTTTCGTGCGATAAAGATTTAACAAATTAGAGGGTCTTTTTGAATTTAACTTTTAAAATCAATGAATAAAGTATTGCCGTGATTTTTTTTCTTTATAAAACTGAGGACATCTGAGAGAACTTTAATAAGATTGACCAAAGCCGTACTTTTTGGCGATGATGAGAAAAACTTTATATGTACCTCCATTTATACAATTATTTTGAATTTGGTACTTGCAGATTTACAGATTCAAGTACACTCGCCATCTAGTGGCGGAGACTTCAAATAGTACCATTGTATTAAATTGTCATTGTTAGGTCATTTTTAGTCTTCGGGCAATTATTAATGTTGAGCATTTTCATCAGCGATTCTTACTTATGAATAAACAATTAACTATTCGATATTTTTCTCTTTAAAAATTTGTACACGTACTTGAATTCGTAAGGTATACGCCCCTATTTTCCATCAGTTAGGCCCTAATTTCGATCAAATTTAAATCAATTTTTTATATAGGATTGAAACTTGATATCTGATTTTGAATAATGTATTTCTGTTGAAGATGTTCGATTCATTCGGCCAATTATTAAAAAAAATTTTCTTACGTACAATTAAGTTTTTAATATTAATTATTGATCGAATATAGGGACATGATCGAAAATAGGGGTATATACCTCACTAAATAATTATATAATATTTAACATCGTGTAATGTTTCAGGTCGCTAGATTTCAAACCTCCCCTCGATCTTCATAACCGCAACTCACGATAATAATCCGACGGATTCTTGAACGGCGGACAGGGGAATTCCGCCAGCGCGAAGTACGGCAGCATGTCGCGCCTCGGGCCCGAGTACATGACTCGGCCGCCCGACGTCAGGGTGATCCTCGTGATCATCGTCAGGATCTCGTAGGTGGGCGGGTGCAGCGTCAGCACCGCCAGTCTATTGCCGCGCTGCGCCCAGGCCCGGAGAAACTCGACGATGAAGAAGGCGTCGAATATGTCCAGGCCCCGGGTGGGCCGGTCGAGGCACATGAGCTGCAGACCCTCGAGCATGCGACAGCCCAGACTCAGTCGGCGCGTCTCGGAGCAGGTCAGCGCCGAGACGAGGCAGTGCTTGGTCGGCTCGAGGCCGAGATCGATCAGTATGCCGTCGGCCTCGAGCGACGACACGTCCGCCGAGCCGCGCAGATGACGATAGAAGCACAGGCACTGGTGCACGGTGAGATTGGGCGAGAGGCCGGCTTCGGGACTGTCGGCGGATAGGTAAGATACCCGCGTTCTGCAGAGAGAGAGAGAGAGAAAAGAGAGACGGAATTAATTTCTGTGCAGTTGCGAGCTGTCGAATTATCATTTTTACTCTTATGAAAAGAGCAACGTTCAATCATATATTTATTTATTTCTGGATATTTTGAACAATCCACCCAATTTTAGAAAGATATTTTAAAAAATCAACTAATACTGCATATATACCAATCGGAAAATTTTTTGCCACTTGCGCCTTTACAACGCTCCATCTGTTGATGAAATCGAAAAGCTCACGATCATAAATGACTACGATAAATCATAATATAATACCACAAGAATTCGAATGAATATTAATCGTGACAATTGCTATGCAGAAATATTGGAACTTATTTTTAAAATTTTGTCAGTCTTAATTCGCAGGTACTTATTGTTGTAACAGCCGTTCTGTCCTCACTCAGCTTATTATTGACTCTAAAAATGAGTTTTACATTTTGAATTGAATTTTCATTTGTTTTATAATTTTGCATTAAAATAGATCATAAAATTCAAAATCTAATCGAGTTCCGTTCGGATTTTCATCGCCACAGTATTTACAGATCTTATTTACGAGTAAAATATCTGAGGACAGATATATTTTGATTCGTACAAATTGCCGTTACGAGGCTCTGTTGTTCAAAAGCCGCGTACGCACAAGAGAAGAACATTTTCTATTTACATAAATTTAGTCCTGTTAACACTTACTTCAAAGTCAACGGACTACCGGTTATCAACAAAACAAAATTATATCAGATCTAACAGAGTTTGACATTGATTACGTCATCGTTGTTAAAGCCAAAAACAATTGTCTGATACTTTTTCAATTCTACCTCGATAAATCGGTTTCTCCATAAGTCTATACCGATCTATTAATGAATTTTGACTAGTTCCATATAAAGTACCTCAAATTGTCGGTGGACACTATTCTGCCGTTGAGCAGTATCTCGCCGCGTTTGATCCGCCTGCGGCCGGCAATCGTCTCCAGGATCAGGGTGCCCTCGCGCTCGCTCGTCGACATGACGGCCAGCAGATCGCCGGCACCGGCCTCCAGGCTCACGCCCCGCAAATACATCGCCGATCCAGACTGTAGAGAGAAAAGAAAAATACAAGTCAAGTTTTATTGTGTACATGACAATACAGTGTAAGGTGGTATATGGGTCATAACTTAAAAAAATTGATAGTTTAAAAAATTCAAGAAGATAGTCGGAGTACCAGTGAATGACCATTTTGGTAAATATGATATGAAAAACAATTAAAAATATATTTGTATAAATGTTATTCAATTCTTCAGTAAATTACGAAGTATCTCATTACAAGAAAAAAGAATAATTATTCCTTATCAAAACGTGGTCAATCACTGGTTCAAATACCCTATTTAGTTTTAAAGGGTTGATTTACAGAGTACATGAATCTATACAGAGCCTCAAAGTTGGTTTTTTTTTTAAATTTGAATGAAAATCCAACTTTGAGGATCTGAACCTAGAGGGCTGAAATTACAAGGAGAGCCTTTCAGGTCCGGGTCATGAATTTGCTCCAAAAAATTTTTTGGGGTCTCCTGGTTTTCTATACTGAAGCTCTCTGTATTTAGTTCGATCTCATGGGCCTGAGGGCCCATTTTTTAGAGGATTTTCCACATTATTAAAAAATCTTTGATGTTTTCTATATTGATATAGAAGTACTTAAATGCAACGATCAAAGGTTTTTTAATTTTTCAAAGAATCTGCATTAATTTTTCCAGAATTTTTGGGACCATCTATCACTTAATTCAAGAGGCTCAAATTTGACGCTGTTTTTAGTATATTTTAGGACTTCTTAAAGAGAGTGATAGATGGTCTCGAAAATTCTGGAAAAATCCATGCAGATTCTTTGAAAAATTTTAAAACTTTTGATCGTTGCATTTTTTCGTTTAAGTACTTCGATATAGAAAATAACAAAGATTTTTTTATAATGTGGAAAATCCTCTACGAAATGGGCCCTAAGGTCCATTGGATGAAACTAAGCACAGGGAGCTTCAATATCGAGTACCAAAAGACCCCCAAAAAAGTTTGGTAAAGATCTGTGACCCGGGCCTGAAAAGCTCTCCTTGTTAGTTTCTATTGCATTCTGTGAACTATCAATTCTTTTACGATATAGCCTATATATACATGCATATATAGCGTGTCTCACCTTGACCCTCGAGGCGTCATTGGCCTCGACGTTGCGCAGCTGCAGATGAGGCTGCAGCATCTGGGCCACCGGCGTGACAGCCGTAACAGCAGCCGCCGCGGCCGCCGCCGCTTCCTGCAATGGGAAAGCGATCGAGGCGCCGGTCGCGTGAAAATGCCGATTATCGTTGTAAATCAATTGCTGCGACTGATGATGCGCCGGATGAAGATTGTTGTGATGATGCTGCTGCTGAGCGTAATGATGATGCAGTCCCGGATCGATGGGCGCAATGCTGTGTCGACGATTATTGCCCAGTGCCGACGGTCTCGGCGACGACGAGGCCATCATCGAGTGTCCAGTACCACCAGCAGACAAACCGGAGGACTGGAGCAGATTCGCCTCGCTGGCGCTGCGCAGACGCGACTCCCGGCCGGTCTTGTTGTAATGATGACTGTGATGGTGGCCGAGGCCGATGCTGCTGCTCGCCGCCGGATGATGATGATGGTGCTGCTGGTAGTGATGGTGTTGACCACCGCCGTGTGGAGCCGCCGAGTAGCCGCCCATGTGCGAGCTGCTGTCTCGATGATTCTGCATTACATACGCACAAATACGGAATAATAAATAGACGGATAGAGAGATGGGATAATATATATATACGAGGCAGGAAAAGGATAAGCATCTGCGCGCGTCAAGCTCTGATAATATCGTACATAGCAGCAGCAGCAGCAGTGCGTTATGAGAGAGAGAGATATTCCATATAGGAAAAACTGGTTGCGTTGCTTCGATGTAAGCTATGGATGTATACTATACGAAACGAGAAAAATTGCGATGCAGCGGAGGTATTATACGAGCGGAAGATAACTCGAGCGAGGAACGAACGCGTATAATTCGTTACGGTATATACGCGCGCGGGCATTTACATTTTATGATTACTGCCCACTTGCGAGCTACGAAACGAAATATATATATCGTGTGTATTCCAGTGCGTGGTAAATATCATCCCAATTTGTTGTAGGAAAATTTGTTTTACATATATAGATTTGCCGGGCAGTGCGAGAGGTCGAAATGTCGAATTATTTTCGAGTAAATGTTTTTCTATTCGTTTATCGTTTCGACTGAGCATTTCAAAAATCTCGATGTACTCGATTCAAGGTCTAGACAGTGGATTTGAGGGTCTCGTTCGAATTTTTTATCGATGAAAATAAAAAAAATTTGATATATCTTTACAGGATTTTTTGTTTTAAATTTACAGAAAAATAAATTTAAATGAGTAAAATCGCGTGAACGCGCTGTGCTGAGACGAGCATCGTTAGGTATGTACCAAAAATTGTTAATTCTTGTAAGATCATATGTTTTATTCCAGTTAATATCGTACTAGAGACACTTAACTCAAAAAAAAATCGTCGAGTAAAATAAATCCGTATCTTTGTTGATTTTGTTGATTTACAATAATTGCCGCTACGAGGCTCTGTCGTATCAAAGCCACATTAGCGCAAGAGAAATATACTCTCTTCGTCCATATAAATATAGTCTCAAAGAACATTTTATCTCTTCAATTCTTCTCCCCTCTCATGAGATATTTTAAGGAAAACATTAGTCATTCGGAGTAACATTAAACATTAGTTAGGAAACATTAGTCCATAAAAGATGTTTTTATAAGAACGTCATCGATGTCTAAACCCGGCTCGGGGTTGAATACGTGCAAACCTTCGAATGTCCGGATAACGTAAACTAAATCAAATCGTCGACTTGAAAATTATCAGCATTACAATGCATAACGTGTCGTTTCGATGATTATCTGGGTCTAGGTCCTTTCTTTCTTTGGGGGATTCGACATCGACGGCTTGCTTATAACACAAATGTCGTTTATAGTCTAACGAGTTCATTTATTTATTTTTTGATAAATTTTGTTCAGAGTGTCTATTGATCTAGACAATAAGACAAGCTTTGTTTACATCATTAGCCACTCTAAAGTAAGCGTGAACGGGATTATAATTTATGGACGAAGAAAATATTTTTCTCTTGCGCGCAGCTTTGATAAAGCAGAGACTCGTAGCGTCGATTATTACGAATCAATGAATAATTTTTCTTGGCGACTTTTTCTAATTTTCATAAAAAAAAATAGCTCCGTTGAAAATTGTCCTATCCCAAAGATATGGTCTCATGTAATAATTAATTTATCTCGATGATCTGGTCTTACTCTGAAGTTAAGTATAGATTAAGGGTAGATAAAATGGTATTATTGAATAAAAAAAAAAAATTTTTTTGTGTGCTTGTTCTACAAGCGATCCTCGTTTTATGCGTTAGATGCGTACAGCAAAAACGCTGCGTAAAAAAATACATTATACTTATGGAGATGAGGGGGATGCGTACAAGAAAAATCACGAGATTTATGAAAAATTATAATTATCATTGTGACATTAATCAGTGATTCATGACTGTTTAACATTTCGTATTGAATCTTTGAACAACTGTTACATAATTTTCCATGATTTGTCTATTGCATGTAAAAATAATTCAAAATTTAGTCCAAATAATATGAAAACTATAGAGTGTTCAAACTTTATAAATCAAATAATTATTGAAAAAATAACTTAAAAAATATGTCTATAACTACGTATATAAAGGATTATACATACCGTAACGACGGCATTGCGAAAATCCGGATCGCTGCGGGCGCTCCTCATCATACCTCCACCACCGCCGCCGGGCAGACACGCGGCGAAGGCCGACAATCTATTGCCAGCCGCGGCCGCCGCTGCCGCCTGCTGCTGCATCTGTGCAGCCCTGACCCGACCCTCTTCGCTGGAATCGTAGCCGCTCGAGCCGGCCGCGTCCCGGCCGCCGCCGCCGCCTGCTGTACCTCCTCCGGCCGAAGCTCCTTGGCGCGTGGTAGCCGTCGACGACGAAGCACCTCCGCCGCCGCCGGGCGGCAGTACCCGGGGAAGGCCGAACTTCAAGTACGTGTAGGAGTTGGAGGCCGCGAGTGGGCTGCGCGGCCCGTAGCGCGGATGGCGCAGTATCGACTGCACCGTGGAGTCGCGCAGCTGAAAGTTGCCGTAGGGCAGGGGCGACTTCTCGGCCGAGCCCAGCGCCGAGTCCGTGAAGTCCGAGTTGAGGTTCTGTCTGTTGAACGAACGAGTGAATATGAATCGTGGATGTTTATCGAGTAGGATATCCGATGGTAGTGATTAGAAAAAATGTTATTACGGCCGTGTCAGGCTGTACCTTGGTCTCCGACGCTGAGCCGATGAATAAAAAATTAGGGAATAACGCAGTTACTCATGTTATTATTTATTTGAATCAAAAAGATGAAGTTAACACAAGTAATGGCCCGAGGAGGCTGCGTATGAGGCAGCGAAACGTCGACTTGCGTTAATTTTATATTTTTCATTCAAATAAATTTTAACTTTTTTGACAATCTGTGTTATAAGTGAATAATAGCGTGAATAATTGTGTGACATGACACTGCCGTAATTATATTTTTTCTAATCATTGACAAGACGCAAGCATAAAATAAATGATCTTATGTAAAATGATTTAAATCACATTATCATCGATTGGCTTGTTTTTAATTATTTTTTCGTTACAATTGTGTTGAAAATATTACGCTTGCTTTAAATGGCAACTCAATCGTTTCGAAAAGTGTAAGATCAATTTTCAACCGCACTTCAAATACGATGAGATCACTTTGATTCTCCACCACTAGATGGCGAATATATCTTAATCCGTAAATCTGCAAGTGGAACATTATGATAATTCCGTAAGATGCGACAAACGACGTGATACTTTTGACAACCCTAATTCGTATTTTATTAAGCAAATTCACGCTTAATTCCTCGATCGAATGCGTATGTATTACTCGAAGTCTTTACGAATTATGTATACATTTTCATTCATCGATGCTCTGCCTCACTGGGTCGTGCGCAGCGCGGTATATGTATACAGCAGCGATTCAACCCCTCGCGCGCAGCACATCTCGCTATATGAATCGCTGCCTTACATTCATGTAAGCAGCAGGCGGGTGCCCTCCATTCATCCCCCTTCGTATTTTATATACGTATATATATGTGTGTTTCATTCAACCCCGCGAGTAGTCGCTCGGTTGAGGGGGGCAACAGGTGCACACCACCACCACCACCACTACAGTAGCAGTCTGCAGTATATGCGCGCAGTCGTACCAACCTGTAAATCGACCAGGCGTGCAGATCCTCGCTCGCCGGTGGCTGAGCCGCCATCGCGACACCGCCGTTCGCCTGGGCAGCCGCCTGTTGAGCCAACGTCCCGATCATGCCGTTGTGCTGTTGATGCTGATGATGATGATGATGTTGACCGCTCGACGACTCCTCGAGACATCTCGTGTCAAGCCCACCCGGTACCGAATATCGTCTCTCCAATTCCCATGATTCTTGTTGCTGTTGCTGTTGCTGCTGCTGTTGCTGTTGTTGCATCTTGCTGCGCTGCAGATGTTGGTAGACGCGCGTCGCTACACCGCCGTAGAAACCGCCACCTCCACCCCCTGCACCGCCACCGCCACCGCCAACGACGACACCAGCACCAGCACCAGCCGACGAGGATGCATTACGTCGATGATAATGATACGTTATCGTTGTCGTCGATGCCGAGGAGGGTCGAGGGGAGGACGAGGAAACGCCGCCGCCGCCGCCGATTCGCCACCGCCACCGGGCCCGCCGTGGATCGCCGAGCTCGCGTTTCTTGCCGATTTTTCAAGCTTCGCGGTGGATCGTCGATCGTGAACCAAGCCCGTCGATGGCTTCGGAGTCTGGCGAAAAATAAAAAAAAATAATTATATATATACCGTTTAATACCGAACCAAACGCCCCAATTAAGGTATGACAATTACTGGCTTTTTAATTGGGTCGTACACACACTCGCACACACGAGATATATCAAACTTTCTCACCAAAAGCTTCGCAGGTATAACAATAATAATAATAGTAATAATAATAAACAACAACGCGACCGAAAGTAAGAGCATATAATATCTCACAAGGAGAGAAAACCTCGAGAGAGTAAAAATTGCTCGCCTCGCTCGCGAGATAATACCTCTCTCTCTATCTCTCTCTCCTCCGTGTGCGTACGTGTATACAATAATAGGCGAGAGAGGAGGGCAGAGTGTAAAAAAAAAAAGAAAAAGGAAAGAAGGAATGCGAACGACACATTGTTGTCGACACGCGGCTGCCGCCGGTTAAAACACACTTTCGTAGCCATACACAATGCGCTTATAATATACGCCGCTAATCTCGCGCGGCTGTGTTATTTTTTTTTCTTGCCGCCTATGCACGCGCGAGAGAGACTTTCGCGTATTATGGTAATCGCAATAATAAGCAGCGATCGCGATCGCGTATAAAACAATACGACAGCTATTATGGTGTATTACGAGCATCGTGGTGTTAACGCGAAACGGTATGCGCGAAACTCGAGGAATTTATTAGATTATTATTATTATTGTTGAATTAGTGTATCCATACGAGCGTATTAAATACATTTAATTGGCGCAAAATTGTATTATTAGACGCTCAGCTCTCGCGGTGATTAACGGCCGCGAGCATTATGTATACGCGTGTACAAAGTTTTAATGAACGAATCGCGTTTTTACGATATCGGTGTTAAATATTAACTATAATAGAGCACAAGGTACTAACGAGCGGTGTATATAATGCCGATCTCTCTCTCACGCACCTCGTTATTTTATTATATTTTTATCCTTAACGACGAAAGACACTTTCGTTGGTTTAATAAACGTCGAGAGAATTTTCACTCTTCGCTGCGATGATCGCTTCGCGCCACGCGTATCTCGCGCGAATAAATAAATTCATTTATTATTTCTCATTCTTGTGGATTATACATTCTTGTTCTTTTTTTTTTTTTTTATTTTGCGGTGTATCATCGTCGTGATTGCGCGCATTCCCAAAAATAACGCAGGCGCGCGCGCGAGTGGTATCATCATCGTCAACTTTCGAAAGTCGCAGTCATCGGTCTCCGTATACATAAACACGCGCATGCAGCAGAAAACGCACGATCCGTCGAGCGAATCAAAAAAATAAAATAAAAAAAAAAATAAAAAAATTGAAGAAGAAGCAGCAGATATCCTTCGAAAAACGAGAACCGATGGATATTACGTACACGTCTTATACCGATTCTCCTTCTCCTCCGAGACACTCTCTCTCGAGAGCCAGAGACAGACGCGAAGTGTGTGTGTATTCCTTCTTCGCTCGAGCCCCGTAAATAAAACGGTATTTGCGCTAAAACTGTTATCTTTTCTTCGCCGCCTGTATATAGCTATAGTAGTTATATCTATACCTTCTGTTAATGGTATAATGCACGCGTCGAGGATGTCGTATACGCTCGCAAGCCAAGCAAGAGTCGATTAAATCCTCGATATGGCATGTGCGCCTATACAACCGCGCGTTGTCAATGGTGTGTGAGCGCGCATTGGGTTTTTTTTTGTTGCCCCTATACGACGTATAATAATAATGACAGATAATGTGTGCCGATTTTTAAAAGGATTTCCCACGCGCTGCTGCTAAGTATACAAAAGTATATATATATATATAAGGCAACAATAACACACTCTTTGATAGCTGCTGTTACACACACACATATTATATATACCATGTACGACTACTGTATTGTTATGTGGCAGCTCTCGCGCAGATATATATACATTTGCAAAATTGCACCACGACTATATACTTCAAGCAGCGGCAAAAGTCGAACGAGAGAGCGCGTAAAAATCGACTCGATTCCGGTACATACACACACACACGTACGTATATAACAGCCGCATTCCGATATATCTCTCTCTGTCTTTCTCTTTCTTTTTGCAACTTCTTGCGTGTATGCTATGTGTGTGTGTGTGCGAATAGTACCATGTATGCACCGCGCGCGCTACATAGGAGCTCGATTTTATAGACGCTCTTCCGCTGCTGCTATGTACTGTAGGCTGCAGTACTACTACTACACAGGATCGCGCGCGCGGCGCGGCGAACTCGAAGAAGGCATAAAAAGAAAAAGGAAAAAGTAGTAGTAGTTGTAGAAGAAGACGAAGAAGAAGAAGAAGAAGAAGAAGAAGAAATGTACTTGCATATGCACTCGCGCGCGCGGGGCCCGAAGCTGTGCAGTACACACACACACACACACACACACACACATAGTAATATATGGTAGTACTGGTCTCGTGCGCGCAAATGCAGTTATGTGAAAAAAGATTAAATGAGAATAGGTATCTGTGGTATGCGCGTGCATGTGTGCGGCTCCTTTTTCTCTCTCTATCCTTCCTTCGCTGCTCCTTTCTCTCTCTCTATCTATCTCTAGGTATACATATCGGATAACGAAGCTCTCTCACCTATCGCCGAATGTTTCGAGGCACTCCTGTGCATGGCGCGCGCGCGCGCGCTGCAGTGAATCACCGATTTTTTTCCATGTCGTATGTAATACATGAACTATGGGCACTTTTAAAACTTTTTTTTTTTTTAAAGACACTTTTAATACACACACAAACAAACGAACAAGATTGAGATAAAACTCTTAAAGATTTTAATTTTGCCAACAAAACACTGTAGAATTGCACACTGCGAACGCGAGAGAAACGATTTAATAATAAAAGACGCGAGACGCGAGAGGACTGCGCGCAACGATTAACTTGGGCTACCACGGATTCGTCGGCGTATTTATACACACACACCCACACACACATACACAATTACATTACTTAATATATAATAATATATATGTGTCTGTCTATTATAATATTATGTACACAACGGAGCACGAATGAAAAATACCGACTGCTACTATACCCGCCGCTCGTCGTCGTGTGTAGGTCTGCGGGTATAAGGCGCGGAGAGGAGCGTGTGCCTCGACTGCTGTCGCTGCCGCGCGCTGCTTTTGCTGCCGCCTCGAGCCACTGCGGGGCCAGGGCAGACGAGAGGTATACGCGTACACACACCACAACGATACGTATGCATGTATGAAAATACACGCACTACATGTATATATATGTATGTATATAACGTTGTGCGCTTCGAGAGAGCCGATCCTCCGAGAGTCGACGTTGCCGCCGCCGCTGCCGCTGCCGATCGTTATTATTATAAATGCTGGGTAAGCAACAAGGAGAAAGAGACTCACTCTGTAAATGTGTGTATATGTGTGTGTGTTTGGGTCTTCTGCTCGTGCTCTCCCCCTGCCTGCCTGGGACTGCTGCTGCTGCTTCCGCTGCGGGGCCCTCCGAGGTAGCGCAAGAACGTTCACCTCTTCTCTCTTCGTAGTACGAGTACGTAGTAGTAGTTCGCATTCAAGGAGGTGAGAGACACCTCCCCTCCCCTCTCTACCCGATGACGATAATGATAATGATGATGATGATAATCGACGATGACTATGCTGGATGATCCTAGAGTCGTTGTTGTTCAGGAGGAGGAGGAGGAAGGAGAAAAGTATGCGCTTTTGCCAAGCGGCGGAGGGGGCCCCCTCGTATTATTATACACGGGGCCCTTCGAGCAGCAGAGAGGTAGAGAGAGGTAGAGATAGAGAAAGAGAGAGAGAGAGAAAGAGGGAGAGACGCCTTGACATTGCTGCCATGCCAGTCGTCGGGAGTGGACCTGTTGTTGCTGTTCGCGCTGCCGCTGCTGCTGCTTCGAGCTGCCAGACAGCAAGTAAGTACCGTTTTTGGGGCCTTTATTTTTCGTTTGTTTTATCACAAGCCTTCGCGAATATTTAACTCATCTCTCCCTTTTAAATCTTTACTAATATTCCCTATCTATACTTTTTTCCTTACGTTCTTCTTATGGCTTTACGAATATAATAATTAAAGCGTATATAGGAAATCGGATAAAAATAGCGAAATACATCGTGCGCGTGAGTCACACGGGTGCGCGCGAAAAAAAAAGCCCCAACTCTCTGAAACAATGCGTGCGTATTTCTACACCGCGCGCGCACGCACGGATTGACATTCTTCGGATTATATTATAATAATATCGCAAAAAAGAGAATTCCATAATAATGATCGTGTCGCGCGCGACAATCGATCGTTAATAATCGATTAAATATAGGATCTATAAAATAAAGCGACGCGTATTGTCTTTTGTAGGATGAAAAAGTTATTGGCTGCGCCTACGCCGGTACTTTAAATCGAATGAATAAAAAGTAAAGAAAAAAGAAAAAAATAGACAAGATGACCGAGAGCGTGCTCGACGTCTCGTCCGTCTACTACTCGACCAGTCTGCCGGTGATCGGCGACTCGGGCACGTTCGGCGCGTGCTGCGGCTGCGCCGGCCAAGCCGAGGCCACCAGCGTCCTCAAGGACGTCTCCACGCGGGTCTACGGCGGCGAGGTGCTGGCCATCCTCGGCTCCAAGGGCTCGGGCAAGCGTGCCCTGCTCGACGTCGTCGCCGGGCGCACCGCCAAGGGCGAGACCCGCGGCCGAGTCAGTCTCAACGGCAGCCTCCTCACGCCCGAGCTGTTCCGTCGTCACGGCGCTTACGTGTCCCATCGTTGCCACCTGCTGCCCTCGCTCACGGTCCGTCAGACTCTGCTTTACGCCACCCGGCTGGCGGGTCTCTCGGGTCAGCGGGACTCGCGGGTGCGTCAGACTCTGGCGGATCTGGCGCTGTCGCAGCTGGCCAACAGGCCCGTGGCGGAGCTCACCAAGCCCGAGTATCGCCGACTGATGCTGGGCGTGCAGCTGGCCAAGGAGCCGCTGCTGCTGCTGCTCGACGAGCCCACCTGGGACACGGATCCGCTCAATACCTACCTGATCGTGTCGATGCTCTGGTCGTACGCCACGAGGCGAGGCAGCATAGTGCTGCTGACCATGGAGACGCCGAGATCCGACGTGCTGCCGTTCGTCGCCAGGGTGACGCTGCTCTGCATGGGTGGCACGGTGTACTCGGGCCCGACCAGGAGCATGCTGGATTACTTCACGTACATCGGGTTTCCGTGCCCGGAGCTGGAGAATCCGCTGATGTACTATCGTGAGTGTGGAATGTTTATTGTACAATAATATTACAGTTATGTTAAGTTTTTGTTGTAAAGGTGATCTAGACTTATACAATTATTTTTACTTTTCCACTTACAGATTTACAGATAATGGTACTCGCCATCTAGCGGCAGATTGTATAAAGTCTACACTTTTGAAATAATAGTTGAATTGTAATTGTCGTATCATTTAAATTAAGCCTAAATTAAGTAAAATTAGTTATTCAGTGCCGAATCCACTTTCTTTTTAAATATATGATTTTCGTTATCAGAATTTTCGGTATACTTCTAGGGGAGATCGGGGTGTGTTGGCATGTGAGGTAAGTTGGCAAAATGGCATATTTCTCCTTATCAGTGACTTGAACCGATATGGTGCCATTGCATACAAATACAACCTATTATGGTGTTAGCACTACTGATAGTATTATTTCTATACAAGTTAGTGGTATGGAGAAATATGCATTTTTGCCAACTTACCTCATATGCCAACACACCCCGCTCTCCCCTACATTGAAAAACCCAAAAATATAAAATTTGCTGTGAAATAGGATAACTTACGCAGTTTATACTACTGTATTCAAAAGTTTTTTAAACCTTTTTTGACGAATCATCACAGTAGAAAAAGTGTAAGAGGCGCAAATTAAAAACAAAAATGTAATTTTGACGTTGATTTTGATTGACTAAATTTACCTAATTTAGGCGCATTTTAAACGATCCGACAATTACAATTCAACTGTTATTCCAAAAATTTAGACGTTATACAATCTGCCGCTAGATGGCGAGTACCATTATCTGTAAATCTGTAAGAGCAAAAGTAAAAATAATGGTATAAGTCAGATTTAATTTAAAACGAAAATTAAGTTTTCACAGCACAGCATATATATCTGCTGTAATGGTATTTCAAAAAGTGTAATCTATGCTCTTGAAAAAATACACGTTTGATAAAAGTAAATAATAAGCTCCTTACACTTTTTCAAAAAAAAAATAATTTTTAAAAGGTATAGTATAAACTGCGCAAGTTATATACTATTTTACAGCTAATCGTACACTTTTGGTTTTTCAATGTATGCAATAGAAAATCTAAAAACATCCAGTCTATGCAAGCTTATTAAAGAAATTTTATTTTCGAAAAAATCTCTTATAAAAAAATGTATCATTACCCATTCGTTCACTTTACAGTCTGTCTGGCCACCGTGGATCGTCGCACTCGCGACCGCTTCTACGACTCGAACCAGCAGATCTCGGTGCTGGTCGACAAGTTCAAAGCCGAGGGCGGCTCCTTCCTCAAGGAGGCGCCGGCCTCGAGCCTCGGCGGGGCAGCGGCTGCCTTGGCCCTGGCCAAGGCCGACAACGGCGGCACGCCCACGTCTTCCCAGCTCGCCCCGACGCCCTCGTCCATGACCCAGCACCACCAGCATCACCACCACCATCATCATCATCATCACAATTCGCCGTCGTCGGTGGCCGCGGGCCAGACGACCGCCACCATGTCGTCGCACAAGTCGCTGCAGAGCCGGGGCGGCGTCAAGTCCGGCTGCTGCTCGACCCTGCTGGCCCTGTATCTGCGCAGCTTGGCCGCCACCTTCGCCATCAATCGCTCGGGCGTCTGCCACTTCGGCGCGCGCCTCTTTCTGCTGCCGTTCCTCGTCGCCGCACTGAGCGTCTATTACTCGCACTCGGAGCCCGAGCAGTCGACGGCTTTCTTGCAGACCAACGGTCTGGTGTTCAACGTGCTGACGCTCTTCTATCTGGCTGGGATCGTCGTCACGGTGTTGCTCTGTAAGTTGGCATATTGATACTAAGACTTGAGAAAAAGAAGGTAAACTTCAAGTGAACAACAAACTTTCCCAAAGAAGAGCTCTTTAACTTATGCAAATATTTTTACTTTGCAACTTGCAGATTTACAGAAAAATTTGCACTCGCCACCTAGTGGTAGAGACTGGCATTGATTAAGTTGAAGCACGATCAAGAAGAGCTCTTTAACTTATGCAAATATTTTTACTTTGCAACTTGCGGATTTACAGATAAATGTACACTCGCCACTTACAAGGATAGCTTTTCAGGTCCGGGTCATGGTTTTGCTACAAAATTTTTTTGCAATACTGAAGCTCCCTGTGCTTAGTTTGATCTCATTGGCCTTAGGGCCCATTTTTTAGATGATTTTCCACATTATAAAAAAATCTTTGTCATTTTCTATATCGATATAGAAGTACTTAAACGAAAAAATGCAACGATCAAAAGTTTTAAAATTTTTCAAAGAATCTGCTTGAATTTTTTCAGAATTTTTGGGATCATCTATCACTTAATTCAAGAGGCCCAAATTTGACGCTTTTTTTAGTATATTTTAGGACTTCTTGAAGAGAATGGTGGATGGTCCAAAAAATTCTGAAAAAATTCAAAGAGATTCTTTGAAAAATTTTAAAACTTTTGATCGTTGCATTTTATCGTTCAAGTACTTCAATATAGAAAATAACAACGATTTTTTTATAATGTGGAAAATCCTCTACGAAATGGGCCCTAAGGCCCATGAGATCAAACTAAGCACAGGGAGTTTCAGTATTGGGTACCAAGAGACCGCAAAAAAATTTTGGAGCAAATCCATGACCCGAACCTGAAAAGCTCTCCTTGTTAGTGATAGAGACTGGCATTGATTAAGTCAAAGCACGATTTTGAGGATGTATAAACTCTCGTGTTTGCTATAGCTATAATTTTATTTCATTTTTTTTTATAAATTCAAAATTCGATATAATTAACGTTTTACATTAGATGCGTAAAAAATTGGATAAAAAATGTTTACATTAAATATTAATGTAAATTGTTTTTTTTCCTTCTTCTTTTCTTTTATTTACAATCTGTCAGCGAACAATAAGACAATGAAGCATATATAATTTGAGCTAATTATGTATGAGATACTGAAGTCTAGTCTAGGTGGACCAATGATCACCAGCCAGTTTTTAATGTAAAATTGCTGCTTAATAATTGATAAAAAATAGTATACTTTACCCCTAGGGAGTGAAAAATATACTATCAAAACACATCAATTTTAATGTAAATGCTTGACCTTAATACAAAATTTTAATTAGACGTCCAAATTTTTAAGGAATTTACAATCTTCTTTGAAACTTAATGTATAAGTGTCGATTTATTTGTTTTTTAAGTAAAATACACAGACCATGCAATGAATGCAAAAATGAAAAAAACAGATCTAATTATACGCTTGAATTGGAAAATTTCCATGAAAAATTAATTTTTCAATAATGATGTACACTGAAAAAAATCTTAGAGGAAAGTCCAACCAAAGTGGCAGCTGAATCAGAAAAAGATATTCTGCTGCCACAGCAAATTAATTGAGCAAAATTGAGCATTGAAACATATCTCGATAATTTTGCTGTGGCAGCTAAATATTTTTTTCCGATCCAGCTTTCCACTTTCGTTGGACTTGCCTGTAAGTTTTTTTTCACCGTAGTATTTGCGTCAGCTGTACACAAAACTCGAATCAAACTCAATGGTCGTCCTCCACCGCCAGATGGCGAGTACCTCTTTATCGATAAATCTGCTTGTGGCAAAGTCAAAATCACGGTACATAAGTAGAAGCTCGTGTCTCAAATCCTTATGGTAATTTATATGAAATATATTACAGTCCCAGGCTTTCGAGCGCGCTACTACCAGGAGCAGCGCGAGGGCCTCTACGGCGGCACGATGTTCATCGCCTCGTACTCGCTGCTCAGTCTACCGCTCAGCTTCGTCTCCACCGTCATGAGCGTCGGCATACTCGTGCCCATCGTCGAGCTCGCGGATTTCTCCGCCTGGGCCAAAGCCACCGCCGTCCTGTGGGCCTCGTTCGTCTGCACCGAGCAGCTCTGCTGCGGCTGCATGATGCTCGTCAAACGGCCCGCCACCGCAGCCTGCGCCGTGCTCTACTTCACCCTGGCCATGCTGCTGCTGGCCTCGGGCTCGCTGCGCAGTCTCAGGGCGCTGCCCGACTGGCTGAGGCCCCTGACTCTCGGCTGTCCCGATCGTTACGCCTCGCTGGCCCTGAATCAGCTGGCCCTGGACACGGAGCAGTTTCGCGGCTTGAGATACAACGCGACGGTCGCCTGTCTGCCCGCCGGACCACCCGAGCTCTGTCGCTACGCCGACGGCGCGGCCTATCTGAGGGAGCGCTTCGTCGCGGAGGAGGACAGCGTGTCGCGGGTGCTCAACGTCGATCTCAATCTGCTGATATGCGTGGCGCTGTCGACGGGTCTGGTGCTGCTCAACGGGGTGCTGTACATGCTGCCGCTCTCGGCCAGCTTCAAGGCCAAGTTCCGAGAGTGAGATTGTGTATGGATTTTGTCACGATCGCCTGGTTAAGTTATAATTGACGTGAGAAACCGACGAAGCCGATACGCGATAGAAAGTAATAATGGACAATTTTTTGAAAAAAAAATTTTTTTTTAAAGTATTTAATTGTTCGATTTTACACGAGGCTTTGGCAGCAGCAGCAAAGTTTTTTTGTTTTTGGTGACAAGTGCAATAATTAAATGTATAAGAGTGATTTGTAAATTTTTAATTCAATAAAAGTTATAATAATTATGTATAAATTTTATTAATGATTGTAATTATTTTACTTATTTCTCGGGATTCTAAAATGGAAATCGTCGCGAAAAACTACTCGATTGTTTTATGCAGTCGAGTTCGAACGTCTATAGCACGATTCCTCGTATTTTTCAATGAGATAAAAAACAAAAAAAGTATACCATCGATGTATCACTTGTTAAAATCATTACGATTTTTTATCGAAGGCTCGAAGGGAGCTTAAAATCGCAAAACATTTTATTGTATCTTCGAGTAAGGTATATGCTCCTATTAACGGTAGTGTCTCTATATTCGGTTAATAAAATGAATCAAACATCTTCAATAGAAATATGTTATAGAGTCACCTACCCCCAGTGAATGAAAGGTTTCAACAAATTTTCCTTAAATTTAGCTCAAATCAACGTTTTTCAGATGGATTATAATAATAAATGTCTTTACTGTAATGAATATAATTTTTGCAGAATTTTTACTTTTAACTTTCATTGATAAAATAAGGGAAAAAATACACGATGCACCAGTGAATGAATCATTTTTACCAGCAAATGAAATCATTTTCAGAGTCATCTAATTAATGATAATATATTCAGAAAGTTGTTGAAAACTATTGAAATATTTAGTATTAATGCTCAAGTATATTATAAAATTTCACTACCGATGAATTAGTTCAGTATAATTAAATTACATTAATTTATTAATAAAGTTTCAATCACTGAGCAGGTGACTCTATTTGTAATGTTTTTGTCGAATTAGTTAATATTGTATTCACGTGTTATTGTTTGTCGCTGTAAATAGCTGACTCGTATATTATGTTATGTTATTATTGTCGAGCCTCTCGATCGGTGAGACGAGAGCAATCCTGTATAAATAATTAAAATACAAAGTTGGTCGACCGAAAATAGGTACGTATACCTTCGGACTTTTAGTCTCCGTTCAATCGCATTTTTCAAAATTCTCGTCGATCTTCTTCTCTTACTCGCGCATGTGCATGTGCACCGACCTGCCATGTGCTTTTGAAATATACTTTCTCTTCGTAGATCGTAATTTACGTACATCATCAGAAGTCTATACGACGCCGCAGCGCACACAGTTCTCATCCTCCTGCTGCAGCAACTTTATTATTAAAAGTCGAGTGTTAAACGTGTGTTCATAGTGTGTGTAATTTTATGTATGGAGAAAATGATGACACCTAGCCAGAAGGAGCAATTCCTACGCCAGGACGACTACCTGTTCAACAAGCGGCTGAGTCGCTCGTCGTCGTGCTGCCTCGTGTGCAACGACGAGGTCTGCGTGTCGCGCTTTCATCGCGCCTGCGAGGACGGCCGCTCGGACTTGGTCGGCCAATTCCTCGAGTTCTGCCGGGATCCAGACTGCCGGGTGCTCGAGACGGATGATTCACCGCTGCATCTGACCCTCTACCACGATCGCAAAAGCTCGACGGAATTGCTGCTGAGGGCCGGGGCCGATCCGAATTTGGCCAACTCGATCGGCTGGACGCCCCTGCATGCGCTGGCCAATCGAGACGGCGGCGACGACGAGGACGACACGACGAGGACGTTCTTCAAGATCTTGGCGCAGCGAGGCAAGGAGGTGGCGGTCGACGCTCGCGACGACCTGGGCCGTACGCCGCTCGAGTGCGCCGTGGCGAGTCTGAAGCCGAACGTCGTCGACGCGCTGCTGGAGCACGGCCGCGCCGATCTCGCCAACTTCCGCTTCCCGAGGCAGGTGTACTTCAGCAAGTGGCTGCGCAGATCCGTCGGCGAGTCGCGGTTGTGTCTCGTGCTGCGAGCGGCCTCGGGCATGATGGCCGTCATGGAGCGCTTGAAGAGGCACGGCTACCCGTTCGACCACGCCAAGGTCCTGTTCATCCTCAAGCTGTCGGGCCTGCACGGGCTGTTCAATGCGCCGCCCGAGGCCAACGAGCGCTGGCACGAGGACGAGCGATTCCAGCGCTTCGCCAAGACGATCGCGATCCGCGGTCTCACGCTGCACGCGCTGCTGCACACGCGAGCCGAGGACGCGACCAAACTCGTCTCGTACGAGGAGTACGCGAGGCTGGCCAAGTCGCCGGGATTCGCCGAGCTGCCCGAGGAGTGCCAAACCGCGTGCGCCAAGCATCTGTGCGCCAAACTCACCCGAAAGTTCTTCCTCGCCTGGGCCACGGAGTGTCTGATGCGAGTGGCACCCTCGGAGATGAGTCAAGAGGTCAAGCTGCAGCTCTGCGAGCGGATGCTGAAGCCGTTCAGGAACGCGATTCTGTATCACGTATGCCTGGCGGCCGAGCGCGGTCTGCTGCGCGAGCTCGCGATGTTCGAGGAGATGAAGATCGACGAGGTGAAGCTCGATAGCTTGTTTTCTAGGAATAAGATTGTACAAGATTGAGTGGTTTTTTTGTCGTTGTTTTGCAAAAGAAATAATTATTGTAATGATTGGATGAAGAATAATAAATAAAATATCAATGTTAATTAATGAAATTCTTTTGATTCATTTATTTCATCCAAACTTTTTCCCCGACTTTTGTACTTGATGCTTTTTCGTGAAATGCTCATCAACGCCGCTTTAATTGACCATTATCATATAAATGAGCCTTTTCCCTTTTTAATGAATTTTCACTTTCTTAAATTCCATCCCAATTATCGTCATTAATATTTCGATTTACTTTATCTCAGACTGTAATTGAAATTTCATCGAAGAAAAAAGTGACTTGCATTATGCAGTAGACATTAACTTGAATGGTGTAACATGTCATTAGCTTACAATTAAGAATGTGCTTAATTTCACTTCAAAATGTAAATGACTTTTTTTTTAAACTCAAACGTTGCTTTGACAATATAATAAAATGCCATTAGAGGAACTTATGATATTAATTGAAATGAAAATTGGTTTAGTTCCTTTCGAATCTGTGCACTAAATTTAATGTTCATTAATGCTGTTATGGCTACTACTTTTACGATACAATCAGCTTTTATAAATAAGATAGTTTCTAACACTTCTTAATATGAAATGATAATAATATCAATATGTATTGATATTATGCTTTGGCAAGAATGACAAAAATATATTCGTACTAAAGACTAAATTATTTACAACAATATAACATTTTTAGAAAAATGTATTCAAGTGCACTTGAATTTTTCAATTTTTATTCGGCTTGAAACATAACATATTCGTTTTTGGTTAACATCTATCGTTGAATAAAAAATGTATGGCGTAAAATGTATGAAATTATGGCGGCCTCCCATAAGAGCCCATGTTAAGTTTGCTATTTTCAAAGGCTTCGTTCTTAACAAATTAATTCGATAACCCATGCTGAAATTTCGACTGTATATCAAGGGCACTTTAAATGACATTTCTGCAGTTTCATAAACATCTGTTGTCAACCCGTTTTACTGATGAGCCACCTTAAGATAAAATGTAAAGTTCGAGCAGCCGAACTACATTATATCTTTTTTTCCGGGCGAACGAAATCTATTCAGGTATTCACGAACTACAACTTGGCTTTCTCTTTCTCTAATGATTCGACCATGTGTTTTTTACTCACTAAAACGTGGAGATCAGTATACGTTCGAACGCGGCAGTGTGAACATCGAGAAATAAACGCAGCGATTGCTCCTGAAGTGACTTTTGTGTAAAAAAGAAATATATTTTGTTATATCGCGAGTTAACTAATAATCGTGTGCGAGTGTGAACAACGGCCGAGCACATTGTTTGGGAGACTTTCCACTATCTCTGCAAATTAGCCAGTCACTACCCGGTGAAAAAGTGCCTCGAGCTCGGCCAGGATCCCAATCATCCACAGAGAGAAATGGGCGACTCGCCGCTACTCTTGGCTTCGTCGAACCACGACATGGACCGCGACGTCGGACGAGCGATCGAGCTGCTGCTGAGAAACGGCGCAAATCCTAATGCAGTCAATCGATATGGATCGACGCCTCTTCACAGGTTGTGCGAATCCCGTAGCCCCAATCATATCAAGCTGATCGAGAGGTTCTTGTCGGTCTGCGGCCAAGTCCGGCAGCAGGTGAACATTAACGCCCGGGACAATCTGGGTCTGACACCGCTGCACTTGGCCATGGAGAAGCGTCGACAGGATGTGGTCGAATTGCTGCTGAGACATGGGGCCGATCCAAATGCTGTACACCATTGCAATTGACCGTGTACAACGCGGCCTCTGGGACGAAGCCAACACGCTGCTGAGCAGAGGCGCCAGTCCCAGGGCGTTCGACGCGGCGCGGGCTTGACACCCCTGCACGGCGGAGGAGGAGCTACAGCAACGACTTGGCATTTTTCCGGCGCAGGGCGATATATCCTTTCTGGGAGCTGATACACCAGCGGCTGACGATCGAGTGCTGCGAAATGATCCTTGGAACGCTGATGAACGAAAATTTGTTCGATACCATCTTGGCGGTTGACGACCGCAGCTCGTGATATTGATGATCACGTTCGTAGAGTAATGAGTGTTGCAGATTTTCTATGTAGCATTCGCGTAAATAAATTCTAAACTCGTTATTTTATTCATTATTTTGTAATTGAAATGTTTACACTTGTAATTGTTATAAGGGAATCATCAATAAAAAAATATAAAAAACTATTAATGTAAAAGAACTGTAAATGAAACTCTATAAATTCAAGTATCTCGTATCTGAACATATCTTGTGTCTAACTTTCTTTTACTCCCATAAACTCTTACGAATACGAAAACATAATATTTAAGCTTAGACTAGATCCTCTTATAAAAAATGAATGTGCTATACAGATTAGGGCTGAATACAGATCACTCGAACAAACTCGACTCGAACTCGACTCGTCGAGCTCGAGTAAAACTCGGAAAATTGATTATTCGTACTACCCCTATACAAATAGCGTAAACAAATTTGAGGAAACTGTAATAAAATGGACATCGACTTGAGAAGTTTACCAATTAAGGTATTACATCGGCTACAATCGGAGCCAAAAGTTATACCACATGCTTCGCGCGAGTAACATTGCGCGCGCACGAAGTACAGTATCAAAATTTCATGGGTGACTATACCACACAAGCATGTCCGAGCGCATGTCCGTGTGCACGCAGCGGACAATCCGATTTTCCGAATCTTTCGCCCCAGTATTCCTTATGGTCTAATGTACCAGTATAGTTAAATTTTTATTAAAATCCTATGAAAACTTTTCTTTCTGTGCAACTTTGTCGAAATTTTCCTATCTTACCAATGTTAATTTAACAATTTTAAAATTCAATATCTCGTTAACTACACGGTCGGTTTTTTTTGTAATTTGTAGAGTATTTCTATGTTGACTAAAACTAACTACCCTCCAAATTTCAAGAAAATCGCATGAAAGTGATTTTTACCGATGTAATACCTTAATTAGTTTACAATTAAGAAATCACCTCATTTAACTCTAAACATTTTTCGATTTTTTTTTAACTTGAAGATTGTTTTTACACTACAATGAGATAACATTCGAGGAATTTGTGCGATTAATCTAAATGGAAATGTTTATTTGACTCATTTATTTATATACCACATCTATGTGTTTATAGGTTTTTAAACTCTATTATATATAGAACTCGGAATATTATAAGAAAACAGCTGCATTATTTGAATAATTTGCAACGATGAAAATGGAATTCGGAACCAGAAATTATTATTTCCTCGTTCTCTTCACTTTACACTTCGAGCTACAAGATCGATCGCCAGATGGTTTATCGTCGAAAAAACGCACCCGCAAGTGGAAAACCATTTTTTAGACTATTAGTAAGAGAGACTTTTCAGCTAGTTTTATCTAGTTTCTTTAACATATTTTCCGTTAAGACGTAAATTGTCCGCAAAACTTCCTTCTAATTCGACAAATGCTGTCGCATCCATCTTACGAATGTTTGTTAAATTGGCAGGCTGAGATGACACCAGAATGAAATATTCTCCACGTTGATTAATTACAATAAAAACATCATTGAATTTTATTTGTTCAAATATAAAAAAATGTATTAGTCAGCACACAGTCCGAGGTAAGACCCAGTCACATTGACAACATTTTTATTCCAGAAACTTGCGGTATCAATTTTGACAATTGTCATGAAAAATGTAAACGCTTTTAATAATTTGTTGATGAAATACATGTTATTTACTTAAAAACTATTCAGTGCGAATGATTGACAAGAAATGTTGAGTCTTTCTTAATAATAATAAATTCGTGGCACAATAAAAATTGATTATAATAAGGGCTCCTTATATATGAGTGATTCTGACTAACTTTTAAAATAACGCCTAAAAAAATTTTTGATGAAAAATTTAGCGGCACAGTATCCGGAATGAATTTTTCTTGAATATTATCAACAAAGAATCCCAAAAATAACTTTGGGCTTTATTTTCCTCCATAGTCCATTTGGGAAACCCGATTTAAATGTGGGTCAAAATAAAACTTCTTCAAATTTTCGAATGACACCGATCTAGATGCGCTTTTGATATGTTATAGTACATGGTAAAAAAATCCTAAAGCCAAAATTTTACTCCCCATCCCCCCCTCCTACCCCCTCCACCCCTATAAACGTCCATTCTTTATTTATATTCATTCTGAAGCCCTGAAGTAATTAAAAAATCTGAAAAAATTCATAATAGTACATATCAACAAAACTAAGCACCTTGAATTTCTTCAGATTTTTCGAGGGCTTCAGGCCTTCAGATAAAATAATTAAAAATTTGGAAAATTTATATACGGCGATACGAGCCAATATCAAACTCGAAAATTTTTTTCTCTGTTTTATGCATTGAAAAACATGACCTTAAATTTCTTTGGATTTTTTCAAGTTTCCTTATGCACTTTTTGAAGCGAAAAAACCCCTTTTTCTTTCATGTGTTTTCATGTGACATTACTTATATCATCCCGCACATAATTATCTACGTAGGCGAATTGCGTAGTCATTATAAATGAATTAAATGTAAAATTTTTTTTTTACGGCCTTGCCCTTGATGATATAGCAAAATTTTTTAAATAAAAAAAGAAAGTGTGTGAAAAAAAATTATTTGTTGAATAATTTATTTATTCATGATAAGAAAAAAATTTTTCATGAAAAAAAATATATTTATAAAAATTTTTCATGAAAAAAAAAATTGTTTATAAAAATTGTTTATAAATTTCCCATGAAAAAATTTTTTTTATAAATTAATTAATTTATTCATAGTAGAAAAAAATTTCATGAAAAAAAAATTTTTTTCAAAAATTTTCAAGTGATTAACGCAGGATTATCGAATGTTCAATCCAGCGTACAATTCTTATTAAATAAGGGACAGAGTTCTGGTTGGGCTCATTTTGTTCGTCTTTTCCAGCCCTTTTTAAACATGTATATGTAGATATTTATTTGTAGCCGCCAGGTCGGGCTATCTAGCGGTCCCGAAGAGGCGGTTGCCGGAGTGAAGGTTTGAGGTGAAGAAGAGTAAAAGGCACAGTTACAACGGTTAAGCTTTATTGTTGGGCTTTCGGAGTCGCTGGTAAGCGACTGTGTGTGGCGCCGGCTAAATACGATCTAACGCTCTTACTGTGTGAGCTGTGCGCGCAGGCACAAGGCTGGCTTTCAAATAAGGCGCGTACGTTCATACATGTATCGTGACGTCGCCTGACGTATCTATGAGTGCTTATGCCTACATACCTCCCCCCCAGTGGGTTAGAGGGAACTGAGAACTACACGGCTTGTATCAAATGTATGCATAGCACTTAGTAGCCGATTTACAAACGTTTATCCGCTATTAAACAAATGTTTTAGCATTAATTACATATTTTTGAATACATAAACTAGTTGAAAGCCGATAGCTTTACCTGCACTTATTCGTGCAAAAAATAACAATACATTGAGTAAATGTGTACTTATTTCTGCTAATGGAATTACATATTTGATTTTTTGAATCTTATCGCTGGTTTTAAACAATAACAACCATTACAATTATCGTAGACTCTTATAAGATACATTTACAGGTAGTTTTGTTTTTATGTAAAAAAAATTACAAACTTCTTATTTGAAGCGGTTACTCTAATCTTACTGACTACAGAGGTTACTCGGTACACTCATTCATTCAGACATACGCGTTTATTTTACGCTAATTATATCATTACCTACGTAGTTTTTATTGGTCCCTTGCAAGAGTGACATTCAATTCGTCACGTACAAGCGAGATTTGATTATTTTTAATTCTTTGTTCCAGTAAAGCTGGAATTACAATTTTACATTTATAAAAACTAAACAAGAATTTATCCGCGTGCGTTAAATGTTCGACGCAGTTCAAATCGACACATTTACTCTTCTTTTTACCCAAATTGTTTATTACCGAAAGATACTTAAATGAATCCGCCAAAATAGTCGATAACGACGAAACAACATACCTCGAATAACAGATCTTTAGCGATTCAAGTGCCCACATCTCGGTAAAATCTAAATAATCGAGAAGCGGCACGTTTGACAGGTCAAGAGTTTTAATGTTCTGTACATTTATGATTATGAGAGGCAAAAACTTAGCTATGTGCGTATTGTTTGAAAAATTAATCTCTTTAAGTGTCAAATTATTTGTCAGGTTTATAAACTGACCGTCAAACGGCTGCTCGACTGTGACATTGCTAAATGCAATCGTGAGTTTTTCGACGTACGTGTCCTCGTTGACGATAGCCTCCAAGAGCCGCAACATGGCTTCTGTTTGATTATTAATTAAAAAAGTACAGTCATACATATACAGTTCTCGCAAGATAAGGTTATCTCTCAACACGTCAATAATCGGTCTGAACGCGACCTCTCGGCAACGGTTCAAATGCAAGACTTCTAGCGTGCTCTTGCTTTCTGACAAAAAATCACCTCTGAGGTGGCTATTATCGTCGACGCGCAGCTGTCTCGGTCGAATGCGTGAAAAAGACGTACTCAAGGTGTTACTAGCCTCCGCGATTTTAAGCTCGACTACCGCGTACGACTCGCCGATAAGGCTTATAATTTGACTATTTATACGCACACCCGTTAAGTCCAGCAGGTGCAAAGAAAACGGTAATTGACCGGAGGGTGAGTCCAACACCGTAAATGCCACGGCGGCGTCGCGTATAATGCCCTGCTCAGAGAGCACGACTTCCTTCGGCTGGAAACGATAAATATAATCTTTAATCATTTGCCGCGCGTTCTGGCCC